TGCTACTATGGATAACTCTACTGGAACACGATTTTCGAGTAACATTCTCAGGTAGTGTCCTGACCCACGCAAGCGAACAGCAAAGAGGTCGAGCATGAGAAACCGGGAAATGGGCACGACGGCTTAGGGTGCCTCCGTTATGGGAGAGCCTCGCGTTCCCCACTCCACGCTGCACACGCCAGCCGCAAAATGTGAAAGCAGGTGCAACTAGTCCAAGCACGTCGTGCTGTTGTGAAGTGAAGAATGGCCAGCCGTTCTCCCCCAGAATACCACATGAAGACTTAAGCCCTGAGTGCTAGAATCGGTAGAACCCGAATGCTTGCGAGCTAATGATGCGGATTTGGAGGGCTTGGGGCACGAGGATCTGTTTTCTTGGCCCCCGCATGGCCGTCATGGTAGTTTGTACGTAGTTGCAAAGCAGTTGGAAGGAGCTCGATGACGTACTGGTATAATGGTAAGAACGAGAGGCAGCTGCCCGAGAGCACTACAATGCATCATGTCCTGTCTGGTACACGTAGTTTGAGCATGTTGATCACCAGCGGCTGTGTCCTCGTCGTCTTCGATTCTCGTTTGTAATATGCTCCGACGTACTTCGTGGGCTATATCTGTCAAGCCCGAAGGAAGTTTGATCCGAGACAATATGCTCACTTGTATGAGTCAAATGTCTTTGCACGAAACTGTCTTGAAACACCAACGCATTAAGCCGCCGTTGGCTCGAAACTTGTTATGCGCGCTTCAAACCATGTTGAGTTGCAAGATCCTGCATAGTAGGCCGATCTTGCAATAGCAGGATACCTGCACCGAAAGCAAGTCAAATGAGTTGCGAACACTTATGGAACGAACTACGGCTATTGATCGCAAGAATGCGGGGCGGCCCCCTTTGGCTCGTGCTGTTGGCGTTGTCACTGAAGCTCGCAATCTCTGAGTTCGAGGGTTGCGAAGCTACAGTGGCGCACTGCATTGTGGGGCATGTTCGGAGCTTTACTCAGAGAGACTTGGCCCTGTTAGGATCTAAGATCCCCAAAGCCCATATAACCAACTGTACGTTGGAAGAGCTGGACCCAAGAGCCAAGAGTGGACGGCAACTCAGGAGATGTTTCTCAGGCTTATCTTCTGTTTGATAAGGGGTACGTATTGCCGTTGTGTACAAGGGTTATCATAGGTACTAAAAGGGTATACCTGGACCCCAAAAGTATGTAGAATAACAGCCTTTTATAGGTCTGGGGCCATGATTTTACCTACTTTTGGGGGTCTAGGTAATTAGGTGTTCAGGAGATGTCTACAGCTCAATACATCAAACTCTGGCATCCCGTGCTTCGCCCTTGAGATGCGCTCGCTTCTTTTACGTGCTGGGCATGTCCTCCGAGTCTGATACCTCCAAGGGTGGGAGATATGACTTCGAGGTCGCGACGCTTAGAGCTACGGCGTGGCAGCTGATGCCGGCTACAGACTTCGTTTTGGACCCGGAAATTCCTAGAATCCGGAGGAACGCCTCCTTCCACCATCCTGGTTGCCTATTCCAATGTGTGCACATGTTCGACAAAGTCCGTGACTGCTTCTGGGCTTTGGAGTACAATACTTTAAAGTAGTAATAATAGTAAAGTTAATAGTAATCATAGTAATACTAATATACATTTTTTCTTTTTCTTAACGCGGAACCATTTTGAAAGAAGCGGTTACTTAGAAGCCCAGGTTTCTCTTTGGTAAAGAAGTTCGAGGAAGACACCGGTCATACATTCTCTTGGATGGTGCGGAGTCGACCGGATCTGAAATGGCACGCGGACAAGACGGAGCTGCCTGCCTTGCACCAACTTCCCCACTCTGCCGTGTATTTTGCGGAGCTTGTGAAGGCTCCCGGAGGCATCTTCCGAGATCCGGTACAAATTGTGCCGCGCAGGTTTGCGGAGGACCTCTTTGATCGAATCTTGGACCGGTGTCTCTTGAGGCAGAACTTGCGCGACGATGACGTTTGGAATTGTGACACCTGGATAGTCCAGCTCTGTGAGGAGAGGGGTATTCCTATCCGATACTTGCGACTCTACGCTGTCATCGAAAGATTGCCAAGTATCGAGGATAGCTTTCACACCTATCACGATCAATGGAGCCAGCATGTGAAAAATGCAGAGCTCCTGTTTCCCCACTCGACTTTTGTCATAGGCAACGAAGATCAGAAGCATGCCTCTGAGTGGTCGAACATCACGGCAGGTCTCCCAGGAAGAGCATCTGGGTTTTCCTTAAGGAACCTACCTGTACTGAAGTTAAAATGATGGGGATCTATAGTAGACGATGTGGTTTCTTCATGATGGCAACGAAACTTAACTTCAGATATATATATATATAGCAAGAACCCAGGCATTCGCAGATGTGGGTTGCAACTTGGTGGCTGACTCCCAGTACTGTACGCCTACGAATGCATACCTCATCCACTTGCGCTTGGCTCTTTACGTCCCGGCCGCAAACAGACAGCAGCAGATCAAGTTCGTGCTCTTCCGAACACATGGTCGCAATATTCGCTTTCAAGGGCGGCACTCGAGGTTTGGCGCAAACGCGACCGCGTTTTGGCCGCTGTTTACGCTACCTTACAATCTGATCGAGCTAGCAAAAGGTGTTCCGTCAGAGAATGCCGGAATTTCTTACAACCTCTTTCGCCCGGTCTTGATGCGAAGAGGCGACTGCATCTTTTGGACTGCCTGCGGCGAAGATGAGACTGAGGATCTGACGTCCGAACCCCTGGATTACCCAAAGAGGCGTGTAGCCTCACGTTGCCTGATGCGCCGAAGAGTGGAACGGAAATATACTCGTAGCAGTGAGCCTATGGGTTCCTTCCAGCCGATCATTTCCAGGCGGGAGTTTCAGAACATTCATTTATAATGCACCCTCTAGCTATAGGATATCGGATAAAAAACCCAAGCCAGTAAGGTAAGATCCTTATCACAGAGACCCCGACCGAAAAAAAGGGTGCCCCTAAAGCCCCAGGTATCACAGCGCAGCTTTCACGCTCTTCAAGCAAGTCCCGCCTTTGTGAGGCCGCTTGCCTTCGAAATTCAAGGTGTAGGGTTTAGGGTTTAGGGTTTAGGGGTTTAGGGTTTAGCGGTTCAAGGTGCAGCCTTCAGGGCTTATATAGGGTTTAGGACGGTGCAATTCTTGAGGGCCGTGAGCCCTACACTCGGGGTTTTGCAACATGTGGGCTCCCTTTGAAGGGGTCACTGTGCCAATGATCCTACCAGATGTTTTGCTTTGAGGCTTCGCTATTTTCTGAAGCCCGACTATGGGCAGTTCCACCTCTGCCGCTCTAGGTCTCCTCGAGATTGAGCATTGGGAGCTGCAGTGCGAGCGGCATCAAGGACGAGTCTAGATGAAGCTGATCTGGAGCAGCGGTTTTACTGTCTGACCCGGCCGTGGAATCGATCTTGCAGAGATCTTGAACTAAACGGATCGGAGGCAACTAGAAGGCGAGACGCTTGAAGCAAGAGTAGCTTTGGTCTCGAAAGCAGAATGACCACGCCACATTTGCCCAGCTCCGACCCGGTCCTTCACAGCGATCGGACATCGACTGGGGCTTCGTTGCTGGCTTCTGCAACGTGCGACCAGCTCAAAGGTTAGCATCACGCTTGCGGTGCGCTTCAAGGGCGACAGGTTTTGAGCTCAAAAATACAAGACTCCAAAGCTGAACGAGAAAAGGTATGCGTCATGCACCACCACAAACACGAGTATACGCTCAGCTGCCTGGCATGTTTGCACTGGACATGTTTTTAGAGCCTACACCCTGAACCCTAGAACTCTAAGCCCAAATCCCTCACCCTGAACCATCCTGAAGCCTAAAACCTAAAGCCATGCCCCCCTCTCCAAATCCTAAATCTTCTGCGCCGAAACCCTTAGGTCTAAAACACCCAAAATGCCAGCAGCTGTTCACCAGACCCACCGTTTCGCAGGTAAGCTTCAAAGCCGCACAAACCAGGTGCTTTCCTTGGCCTCGCCCTCCTACCTCAAGGAACAAATGAGCCTAAAAGGTTGTATGTACACTATATATATATATATATATACACATGTATGTTATGTATGTATGCATGTACGTATGTATGCATGTATGTATGTATGTGTGTATGTAAACAGATAACACATGTTTTCACATATATCTACATACATACAATGTATGTATGTAGATATATGTGAACACATGTGTGATCTGTATGAATGTATGTATGTACGTACGTAGGTATGTATGTATGTATGCATGCATGCATGTATGTGTAACATACATACACATCTATGTAGATGCGCGTAGTATGGGCGCATGAAAATTCTTTATAGGATAGTCAGTCTAATATAGCAGAAAATGGTTCGATATTGATGTAACAGAACATAAGTCAACATACATCTGTCATAACACAATAAATCAACAAAAATAGACTAGAAGTTAATAAATACAATAAGCTGTAGTCAGGTGTAATGTATAATATCCCATAGCGAATAGTAGCATAACAGAGTAGAATAGAATACAATATAATATACTATTGAAATATTTCATAACATGGAATACGACTTAACTTGCCTGTAACACGTTGGTATGAAATACAGTACAAACAACATAATATACAAAGTGTATAGAGAGACAGATTCTGTAGTAGGAAATGCAGAGCTTCGTGATTGTTCAAGGGCTATCTGGTCCGTGAGGCAAGATAGCGTTGATTGTTGCGAAACGCCGTCTCATCCGTTTTGCTCCACCACAGAGGACACAGAGCTCAGAGCAGTTTGCGGACGGTTCCAATGTCACATGCTGGATTGCGGCACCTGACGTTACCCCTTTTGCACAACTTCTAGTAGCCGTTATTGTAGCAGTGCCAAGTAACCCTTGCAGTGCCCCTCATAGCGATCCCATCTGCTCATAGTAGCCTTATAAACAGCATAGAAACCCTTGCAGCATCCCTTGTTGTAGTGCCTGTGGTACCCCTTGCAGTGCCTGAGAGTCAGCCTGGCGACGTCAATAAGCCCGGGCTGCCATGGCCTTTTCGCAGGCAGTGGCATTGCATTGTTCTGATGAAAACCTGGCCGATAGAAACGGCCATGACATCAATCACGATAGTACTGGTACGAGAAGTTAGGCTTGAAGGCAGTGAAGGTAGATGAGCTAAGATTGTAGAAAGCATTATGCTGACCCGTGTCGGGAGTGTTGTTGTTGAAGCCATAGCTCACATTGTAACTTTGTCGAAGACCAGCAAAAAGTCACACCCTTCCTATGGTTGCGATTACGAGGCCTGTACATGTCTGCGGCTGCTACTACTGCAACCACAACGACGACACCAACATCAAGACTACGACGACGACCACTTCTGTTCCTGCTACTGCTACTGCTACGGTTGATGATATAAATCCTGCATGACCCATAATCAGGAAAATACCATAAATCCCAGAGTTTAGGGTCCTTAAGATAATGCAGGATTTATATCATCAACAGTACCACCGCCTGTCCCCCCACAAATGCTCCTGAACCCCAAAGGCCTGATTTTCTGATCCTGAATCCTACAGATACTCCGAGCCCCTGCACAGTGTTCGAGGCACAAGCAACAGGATGCCCTACTTGGAGGATCATGGGACTTAGTAAGTAAGGTTATAAGTACCTTAATTGGGGCAAAAAGTAATTTAAGTATAGTTACCCTCATACCCTCATTATAACCCGAGTTACTAAGTCCCGTGGTCCCTTAAGTAGCCAGGATGTCCTTTTGGGCTATGTGGGCCGCCAGCTGGGACCAGAGGCGCTGCGGAGTTGGGTCCAGTCAGGTTTACGGGGTCTCCTGGCCGGGTTTTTTCAAGTTCAAGGATTCACCATGCAGAGTTTACTGTGTCGGCTTTTAGGTTTAAGGTCTTTCAGCTGTTTTTTGTTCGTGTTGTTGTTTGAGGTCTAGGCTCTTATAGTCTTGTTAAATATTCAATACTCTATCATACGGTATACGGTATATGCGTCCTTGTTTCGCATCTTTTTTGAAGCGTAGTATGCGCGAATCAGTACGAAGTTAGGGTTCGGGGGGCATATTGTATTGCATAGGTAAATTACGGAGCCCAAAGGAAGAGTACTACTAATTCATCACGGCCCCTACCATGCTCTATTAGTCAAGCTTTCTGAGTGCCATGCCCCAAAGATGTCGGAGATCGAGCGCAGACGACAGGTGCCCGGCACCCTCTCTCTGCAGTTTAGGCTTTTTGGCTTTTGGGGTATATAGGTTTCTAGACAATTTTCCGATTATGAGGGGATGACGGGTTAGTGTTGCATCATGACTGCCAAAACAAGCAAGAGGTTAAAGCCCCGGCATGCAACTTGCAGCATGCGTGGTCATGCGATGTCTGGGTTCGTGCCTCTCTGTCTCCAAACTTACATGAAACCAGGCCAAACATAAATCCAAAGCAAAACCCTGGAGCCCAAAACCCTGAGCCAAAGCCCTTAACCAGCCTCCGAAGGAGCTAGATGTTCGACTCAGCCGCTTTGGAGGCTCAGCGCTGCTTTTTGGAGAGGACATATTTTGGAATACCACTTAGAAATAGCTTTCGAAGTTTAAAGATCTTTTGGGGTTTTGGAGAGAGCTGGATGGGGCTCTCCGAGATTACTTCTACTTTTGACGACTCACAGACCCTAAACCATCCTAAACACAAAGCCAAACTCCCCAAACCGTAGCCAGCCCCAAGTCGCCAGAACCCCCAAATCTTAGGAGCTGCCCCCACCCTGTAATAGTGACTAAAAGGATTATATTGGGGCCCCATTATATTCCTATTATACCACCATTACAGGGTGGGGGCCCCTTCTAACCCAAATCCCTAATCCCGCTGACTTGCCTTTTGGTAGGCCAAGCGACCAGGAATCGCCGTGTGAGTCTGTAGAAGTGACGCCACCGCAACCACAGAGCTAGAAAATCCACGGCATCCAAGAATGAATCGCACTGCGGAGGCCCTTCGGTGGCAGACGCCGGCCAGCGTAACGTACTGTACAAGACGAAACGCGCCGAATGAATGAGGAGAACTCAAATCTCCGGAGATCCCACCCAACCACGTGCTCGATTTTGTAGAGACATATAGGTGGTTGTCAAAATTATGGTCCCTTTCGATTACCCTAAATAATAGGTGCTGTACTACATTAGGGACCCAAAAAGGGACCACAATTTTGATAACTACCCATATGAATCGCATCATGGTATTAGGATGAGCGCAGGTCTTCTAGTACGCCATGAGCCATAAGGCGAGCTCCTCAATCCTCCGACCCCAAATTCCCAAACCCCTCAATCCCTAAACCCTAAACCCTACCCCACCCTGAATCCCTCGAAATCCAACGACTCCTAAGCCCTACACCCCCCATAACATGTAAACTCGAGCTTCCGAAACCCTCGGATCCCGAAGCCTTAAACCTTGAACCGTGGCTTCTACTTAAAGGATCATGGGACTTAGTAAGTAGGGTTATAACTAGGGAAACTATACTTATAACTACCTATAACCCCGATTGAGGTACTTATAACCTCACTTACTAAGTCCCATGATCCTCCAAGTACTGTCAGGTACTCCAGTTTGGAGCAAAGAGCCCTCGTCAGAGTCGATGCTTCGAAGGCTAGGCTGCACGGCTACAGCGAGGGTTTCGGCTTCATTGGGTCATTCGGTTTGGGGTTTAGGGTGTTGAGGGTTCAGGGTGTTGAGGGTTTAGGGTGTTGGGGGTTTAGGGCATTGAGGGTTTAGGAATTGAGGGTTCTTGAAGCCTTTGTTTGAGTTTCAGAAGTTTAAGGGTGCTGGCAAGGGCTATAGCTTTGTGGAGGGTTCATGATGGTTGTACAAAGGTTATACGGGCGTTGCAAGCTTTAGGTTCTTACGGGCGTGTTGAGGCGCGGGGCTTTCTGAGGGTGTCAGGGTTTAGGGCTTTAAGTGCTTTGCGTTTTAGCGGAGCCTCAGTCCAGGGGATCTGTTTGAGCCGGGTGAGCTCAAGTATTGTAGACAATTATTCATGGATCTTACTTGCAGGATCCCAGGCACCCAAGCAGAGGCCATGTCTAAACATATCTATCTATCTCCCCATCGATCCATAAATGTATCTATGACTATGATCACTATATCTATGTATCTAGCTATCTACCGAACCCTAAACCCTAAAGGCCCTAAGCCTTATCTATCGCGGGATCCTTCCTTCTCCGAATCCCTAAGACTCCAAGTATACAAATACTACCTACTTTGGCCTCTAAAGTCTATAAAAGGTACCTACTTTGGGCTACAGTAGAAGCCAGAAAGTTGGAATATCATTATCATAGTCCCTTTATTGTAAATTATAGGGTATCCTACCCTGAAACCATATTCCAACTTTCTGGAGTTCCCTTTATGTGGAGCCTTAGGGAATAGGAGCGCCAGGCCAGACTTCTTCAATTGCAGACTTTGTGGCAAGCCGCTGGCTTGGCGCTCAGGGTTTGCTATAGGGGCCGTAGTAACTACCCATAATAGTATAGGGGTTCCTTATTAGTATAGGGGTTCCTTATCATAATTATAGTATAATGGGCCCGAAACCCTCTTCTGACCATTAAGGCCCCTACATTAGGGTCTTTAGGGTTTGTGGGGCTTATAAGGCTTGTAGAGTATATGAGTTTTTAGGGCATATATGGCTTGTAGGGTTTAGGGTTAGGAGGCTTTCGGGATTGCTGTAGGATTTGAGGTTCAGTGTGTGTGTGTGTGGGTGTTTATATATGTATACACATATATATATATATAGATAGATAGATAGATAGATAGATAGATAGATACTATTAACTGTACATATATATATATATATATATATATATATGGTCACCCCCCCCCCATGACAGACCATGCCCTTTCGACTCAGTCGTAGCGCATGGTCTGTGATCGGGGGGAGGGGGCACTCAGCTTTCAAAGCCTCAATTCCAAAATTTCCAAAATTCTCTCCCCTAACTTTCCGGATTTCCAAAATTTCCAAAATTTCCGAAATTTCCAAAATTTCCAAAATTTCCAAAAAGTCCGCCCTTATGTTTTGGAAAAATCCTGTCGACTAGGTCGGGAAATTTTGGAAATTTTGGAAATTTTGGAAATTTTGGAAATTTTGGAAATTTTGGAAATTTTGGAAATTTTGGAAATTTCGGAAATTTTGGAAATTTTGGAAATTTTGGAAATTTTGGAAATGCTGGAATCTGTTCTATATATGACTCAAGTAAGATTACTGTGTAGTGCTTACTATGTAGTGTATCAGCACAACCCTCATCCATACACGTGTGCTCTGTAATTCCTTTCTTGGTAGGACACCCGCGCGCCTTGTCGTGCTAGTCTCCGCATCGGACCAGATTACTTGCAAAGGCAAGGGCTGTCAATACTCATGCCCATATTTACACGAATATCTCTCTATCTATCTGTATATCTATATATACATATATGTATTGATACTCCTACATATAGTATTGCCATTGAACATACTGACATTGATCATTTGTTGAATGCTCAAGCTAATACCAGCATTACTACTAATATTACACTTCTATAAAGCTTAGTACGAATATGCATAACACAAATACTAAGATTGATTAGTATTGCTCTTAGTACTCCTACGCATATCAATAACCATATTCATATTGATAATAATGTATAATAATACCAATACTAACACACACCTGTATGTACTAATGTACATAAACATGCATACCACCATATTAAAATACAAATCCTTTAACTCACTCATGAATTCAACTGTTAGAATTTCACGTGGTCAAGAGTAATAACAATACAAACATTCTTTCGAATGTATATCATCAATAATATGATAGTACTAACGCTAACACTACTGCTAATACTTAACACAAAATCTATACTAACATCAATATTTACATAGCTATTTATACTCCTACGAATACGAATACGTAAACCCTTGTGCGTTAACAGTAGTGCTATCACCAACACTAATACGGACTTTGATAATCTGCTGCATATTCAAGAATGCCACTAGTATTACCAGCATGAACACTCATATTATGGCTATTACGAGTATAAATAGTCCTACTTCTACTAGTATTGACATTAATACTCCTACGAATACCAATAGTATATTCATATTGATATGAAAACTAATACCATTACTAATAGACACCTGCATATACTCATGTACATAAAATACGTACCACTATCTTAAGATACAGATATATACATCAGTGCATTCATGTATTAATGCTTTGGCATAGGCATATACCCATATACCAATGTATCAATATACTTCTCGTTGTTGTATGAATATACTATACGAATATGTGACTATAATCATATACGGCTACTGCACTATGCAAGAATACCGACATGACAAGTTCGTATACTAATATGCCAACATACTGATATACTTATACATGATTAGATAAAACAGTAATATAGTACACATATTCGTACACTAATATGCTAACGTACGAATATACTGGTATGTCAATATACTAGTAAGCTAATACAGCAGTATAGTAGTGTAGTCATGCACCAGTTGTACTAACATGTAAAATATACTAGTATACAAGTATGCAAATATTTTGCTGTCCGAATACATTGATGTATTGATATACTAATCTGCTAATATACGAGACTATCAATATACTAACATATCAAAACTAACTAGTTCTAATATTGATACTAATACTAGCACTTCTGCGAATATAAGCTGCTGTTAAACCCAGCATTAAGACTGATACTGATACTACTCGTAGCAGTGGTGCTGTATTACTGACATTGACACTGGCACTAGCGCTAACTCTAACACGAACATGAGCACTAACACTAATTTATAGTTGGCAATATTGATACGTATACTTACAGCAAGCAATAGTACTAATATTAATAACAATACTCACCCTAATACCGATACTACCACAAGACTATTACGTAACTCATGTGCCGCACGTCTGGTGCTATACTATATACCTCATGTAACGGTTTTGCTTCACAGAATATCGTTGTGCACGGTGTTTTTTAGACCCGTGGTCTGTCACCGGGGGGGGGGGTGAGCATATATATATATATATATATTTATACGCTACATACTGTACATATTTCTGTCTATACCCTGAATCCTACACTCTGCTTCGAGGTTCTCTTCACCCAGATCGCCGCAGGCTATGGGGACCGGCCCAAACGGCTGCTCCACGTCTTCACCTGTCGCGCAAGTGAGTGTAGCCGGGCTCCCGGGAACGAGTTTAGGGTTTTAGGGTTTATCAGGGTTTAGGGTTTAGGGCTTGGGTCAGGGGGTTTAGGGCTTAGGGTTTAGGGGTTTAGGGTTTAGGGGTTCAAGGTTTTACGGTTCAGGAGCACTCTGGGGAGATCCTTTTCGGTTGAAGCCTTTCCCCCCCCTGTGCCAGGCCTTTGTTCCAATAGCGCATGCCAACTAGCATCAGGTTTCTACATTCCGTGCAGAAGTTCTGAACGTGAGGCAGTGATCCGCTCTCCTGGCGAGTGTTGAGAAGTGCCCGCCGCACTGTAAAAGTTGGAGTCATGTTTCTCGGGCTTCCGATATCCCTGAGCCCAGTAAAGCGTATCATAGGTAACGCAGCAATCTTGGGTCGGAGTACTTGGGTCGGAGTAATCAGTTATCATGTCGCCTCATGGCCCGTATACAATTATAGTAGAAGAATCTCCACATGCCGTATTCTGGTCGTTACGGCAGATACATATTAGTCTGTGGCCCTTACCGTTTACCCCAAACTGGTGCGGCTCGGCCGAAACATCATACCTGTATCTGTTTCACAATACGAGAATAAGCTGCAAGCTAACCACAAATCGCTGAAATAGGCGACAGGACCTAAGCTATAAGATACTCTTAGAACACTAAAGCAGACTATCAGACTCTAGAAGATAACTCTGGCATGGGCTGTGTCCAGGTACTGGAAAGCTTGCGACCGAAGCCGCAGAGGTGCGAGATGCTGTTATCCGCAATCATCATCAGATACGGTGTAGTATAGGAGCCTTAATAGTTAGAATAGCGTTCCTGTAGGGGTCTATAAGGGGTATCTATAAGGGTACTGTAATATGGAGGCCTAAATAAATACCAATGCTACTTTGGAGGGTTCCTTATTGTAGCTAGAGAAAAACGGGCCCCACGATCCTATTCTGGTTATTAAGGCACCTTTGTGGCCTAATTATTCGGCTTTTTCTACATGGTGCTAGAGTAGAATGTAAGTTGTCATAAGCCACTACCAGAAAGAAGGATAGAAGATAAGGAGTTAGAAGCTACTGTAAGGTACTACAGCATACTATAAGATAGACCCTATACCCCAAACGGCACTTGGCAGGACGTGGGCCATCACCGGGATCCTCAAAGCCAAGGATCAGGCGAGTCTGAATCAACACCTGTTACCCTGCATAGGCCCTAGACGCCTCAAGGGCCAGTGCTTATATCCTTATCTCCTAGAAGCCCTAAGCCCTGACAACATCTTCAACCCCAGTTCTCCGTTTTCGCATGATGCGTCTAGAGATGACCTTCTGCCTCATACCGCTCTTCGTTGCCGTATGTTCTGAGTTCTGGCCTGTACAGTTTGGTTTGTTCCAATCCACCGTGTTTTAGTCTGATCCACCTAACTTACCCGACTTGTCTATCCCTCTATGCTCGACACAGGCTACCCGACATCTTCTGCAACGGGAGATGATTGGAGTGTTGCCTCGCCTGCCGACGACTGGAGCCAGCCAGGCTCATTGTTTACAGAACGCTGCTGCGGTCTTGTCTTTGCCAGTGTATGTTCTCACCATACCATGGGGCTAAATAATTGCCTGTACCATTTTAGTGGTTCCTTATTAAGTATAGTAGAATATACCCCAAAGCCCTATTCTAATTCCCGTAGTTTAGGGTCCTTATATCATCAACCCTAGGGTGTAGGGTTTAGGGTCGCCAGGCTGCGCGGCGTCTGCGAAAACTGTCGCGGACGATGACTGGGGTGCCGCCAGGGCTGCCGACGACTGGAGCCAGCCAGGCCAACGGGCCCCGCGGCCTCATATAAGGACCTAAATTTTTGCTGCACTGTGTGTCTAAGGCCGCGACCTGTCGACGATGCTAAGGTAAAGCCCGATTCGGCGAAATATCCGAAAGGATAATCATTGCTCATATACGGGCCTAAATAATTACCTATACCATTTTTGGGGGCATTCCTTATTATAAGTATAGTATAATGGGCCCCAAAACCCTATTCTTTAGCATAATTATACCATGTTGGGGGGGTTCCTTGTCATAATTATTAAGGCTACCAAGAGTATGGCTTTCTGTGGAGACCTGGGATCCGCACGCCCTGGGCTAAATCCGTCAAAGCCTCTCAACTTCTTGGGCTCTTGCCCAAAGGTTCCAAGTACTGCTGATGGACAAAATCCTGCATTACCCATTATAAGGAATATACCACAATGCCCATAGCTTAGAGTCCTTAGGGTCATGCAGGATTTTGTCCATCAGCAGTATCAGTATGGTATATACTTGAAGGGTATTTTGGGGTTCTAAGTATATACCATAATGATACTTGGACCCTTTGGGTTGTTATGGAAGTCAAGTTAAGCTACAATAGTCGGTATCTGGAATTGATAATATGGTTTCCTAATTTTGCTAACTTACAACCTGAATCCCTTGACAAGAACCCAGACTTTGGAACTACAAGGTTGGTTTCGGGGTGTAATAGGTCTAGGAACGCTAAACCCTAAAGCCCTAAAACCCCAAAGCTCTAAAACCCCAAAGCCCCGAAACCCTAAACCCTATACCCTAAACCCTAAACCCTAAACCATTATATCATCAGCCGTAGGGTTTATTTCGGGTGCAGGCTCAGGGCTGAGTCTTGGAGCTTTAGGGCTACTTAAAGGATCGTGGGACTTAGGGGGGGGCAGGAGCTTCGGCCACAGCTGCCGACGACGAGATTGAGGCAAAGCTGGGCCTTTTAGGCTTTTGGAAGCAGAGCCCTAAACCCTACACCCTAATATAGGGCTTTAATATTTACCAATACTGTTTTGGGGGGTTGCTTACTATTATATAATGGGGCTCCAAAACTCTATCCTAGTTATTAAGGGCTCTAAATCACATCCAAATGAGCCCCAGTTAATTCATATACTAGCCATCATTGATGATACTGTCACCGTGTTCGTAGTCGTCACCAGTCTCGCTGCGGTTTCAAGCGCAAGTTTGCCTCTGCGGAGGCTGGCTGTCTTATTCACAAATCGGCTCTGTACGAACGAATCTTCAAGTGTGACCATGATAAAAACTTCCTACACAGCATCAGCGGTTGTACTCTCAGGCTCTGTCGCATACTAACTTTGCAGCTCAGTTGTGGGGCCGTGTGTCACTCGTGTTGCTTCTCCCTCCAATGTGTCAGTCAATGGTTTTCCAGCCGCTCGTGTGTTCAATGCTCTTCTCATTGCACTGGTTGGAATCTTTCACATTGCTACCCTCTGCAGTTTGGCTTTCTCATGTTACAGCTTGGTTTAACTACGTGAATCGAATTTGCAGTCAACCGATGTGTCCAGGTTGTGTTTGCACGGACTTAGTTCCATCTTCCTCTTACTGTCCTTGATTTTGCTTTGTGGTATGGCTACAACAAAATTCGCGGGGCCACTGCTGAGAGGCAGGACGCAAAGGCCTTTCGGGCCCGCTGTTGCTGTTGATGTTGATGTTGATGACGATGATAAAAGGGATATTGAGAGTTGCAATATGTTGTAATGATACAGATGTCAGTGGTAGTGCTAATGATGAAGATGCTTATGCACATGATGATGGTGACGATAATGTTGATGCTAGTGCTGCTGATGTAGATGATGATGATGATGATGATGATGATGATGCTGGCCATGGTGGTGATGATAATACTGATGGAATCGTGTTGCCGACATATATGGTGATAAAAAACCCGAAGAATAAGCTGAGTGTGTGTATATATATATACATATACATACTTATGATGGCAATACACATTTATGTATGTATGTATGCATGCATGCATGCATGTATGTATGATGGCGGTGGCATTGACGGTGATGGTGATGATGATGATGATGAAAATGACGATGATGCTGCTGCGGATGATGATGGCGATGCTGATGATGAGGATGATGATGATGCTGGTGGTACCGATGCTGCTGCTGATGATGATGGTGGTGGTGGTGGTGATAACGGTGGTTGCTAGGATGGTGAGTAATGGGGATGATGTTGCTGGCTGATGTGTGATGATGACGATGATGATGGATAATAAAATGATGATGCTGCTGATGATGTTGAACATGGCGACGAAACTGATGATGCTGATTATGATGATGATGATGACTATGGTGTTTGTGATGTTGTCGATGATGATGACTGTTGCTTCTGTTGCTGATGAGTGAATGTTGGTGACGAATGTTGATGAGGGTTATGAATGTTGGTGTTGAATGTCGTAGTTAGGGCAAACAGTAACAGCATTCGGAGGCCCTCCTGGCACAGCGGAGCACCTCTGCGCCTGTTGCGAAGGTGCCGGGTCACCGCCTGCCTCAAAGTCACGGCTTCGACCTCTAGGGCTCCTTATTATGATTCCCTTATAGCGGTGTTTAGAAAGTTAGGTGATTTAGGGTTCAAGTAGCCTTCTCGGCTCTGTCCTTGTAATGTCTGGACGAAACCCTATATTGTGTCATGAAAGGCCCTCCGTAACGTGGGTGGCATGGGAATATTAAGTTCGGATGGGTTAAGTTGGTTTCTTATGCCATTTTGACGGAGCTTCCTTTCCTCATTAGAGGAGGATATGCTCACGTATACTCTCCTCTTTCCGTCAGCGCCACGCAAGGTGCCAGCAACACCGGCTAAAGCCAAGAAGGCTCCTTTGGAAGCCGAGGAGGGGATTGCAAGCTGAGGTTGCTGGAATTATGTAGTTTAGGGTTTAGGGCTTATAGGGCTTATAGGGCTTATAGGGCTTATAGGGCTTATAGGGTTTATAGGGTTTATAGGGTTCATAGGGTTTAGCGGTTCGGGTTTCAGGTTCAGAGCAGACCTGCCGTCGAAGTGTCCGGGCTTTTCGATGCGTTTGGTGCTGGGCTGATTTCTGGGTTTGTGCTACTTGAAGGATCACTTGACTCAGGAAGTAGGGTTAAGGTAACTCTACTTGTAAGTTATAAGTTATACCCCAAATTCAGGGACTAATAGCCTTACTTGCTACTGTGAGTCCCATTGTCTTCCAGGTAGGGGATTTCAAGGGGTTGACCCTTGTTTTCGATTGCCGTGAGGTGGATTTCGGGTTTAGGTTTGATGTTTTGACTCCCAGGCGTTTAGGCATACGGGCGTTAAATTTATGAAAGGTTGATGGTTTGGGATTCTGCCACACGAAGATTTACACAAGCCTTTCAGCTGGTCGACAAGGCCCCCTTTGCAGCAGATCGGAACGGAATCAAATCAACTGGAGTTCCGGAAAATAGAACAGCTCCTAGCCTCAAATCCTTAAACCCTAGATCCCTTCGGCAGGAAGCTGAGTGGCAAGGTGTGGTGGCCAACGTGGGAAGGCAACCAGTGCACAGGGCTGCATGTCTCATCGTTTCTTGCAGCCGAAACGTCGAACACAAGCATATAATCAGGATTTGTAGTGTTTGTTTTTTTTTGAAGCCTGTCAGTGGCAGCGCAATGTGCCTGTGCCAGTTAAACTTAACTTAAAAGATCGAAACATTCGCGCAAGCCCAAACCACAGATATGGAACCCCGATCATCCCACTCAAAACCAATGTTTGCCGTCGCAAATCTAAATGGCCAGAACCAATGTCAAACCCACCCGCCTTCAGAACGAACCAAGTAAGCTGTCCCCACAAGCACGCCCCATGACGAAGTTGCCCCATTGTCCCAAAAGTGATGGTTGGTGGTGGTGGTGGTGGTGGTGGTGGTGGTGGTGGTGGTGGTGGTGGTGGTGGTGGTGGCGGTGGTGGTGGTGGTGGTGGTGGTGGTGGTGGTGGTGGTTACATTACAACATAATTATATATGTTGGTGTTATAACTTTTCTGAATAGACTGCCACAGAATATGATATGCAGTATGCTTTTTCTGCCGTGATGGGTGAGAGAGCAGCTCGGCACAAGGGAAGATCCTTTGCCCTGCTTGTCCATCACCATCGACTACGAACCGGCGCCGGAGGAGGCGGCCGGCGAGCACGAGCAAGAGCTGCTGCAGAATCCTGGCGAATTTTCGGTGCTACGACACGGGCTTTGGATTTAAACAGCAGTGGGAGGCTTTAGCTCAGGCGCCAAGATGCATCTGTTAAGGCGAAGAGCGAATCACCCACCTGCATGGACTTCTCTGCGCCTGTGCAAGTTCAAGATCATCGCACGTGACATAGGGAGGGCGGCCCGTGAAGTTTGACACACGCAAATATCCATGGCTTAGATGCTTCTCCCTCGTTCTCCGTCGAAAAAATAGGGGCTTTATCCAAAACATTATGTATATATATATATATACATATACATACATATATACACATACAGATCTAGAGATACTAGGTAGGTGACTAGGGCGACGGTGATGTTATGATGGTGGTGGTAATAGTGGTCATGATGACAATGATCCAGAGGATGAGACTGCTGCCACACCTTCCACGGCCGCAACAGCCAACGGACGTCGTCGTCATCATCATCAGCAGCAGCATCAGCATCACCATCGTCATCACCGTCATAACCATCATCGTCGTCGTCATCTTCTTCTCCACCATTACTTGTAATTACCATCGTCATCATCGTCGTCATCGTCGGCTTTCTTCTTCGTCAACATCATAAACTTGACCTTCACGGTCATCACCATCATCAGCAGCATCATCATCAGTAGCTTATCGCCATGCACCGTCATCCTGGCCATCAGCTTCAGCACCATCACCATCGCCGTGGTCTTCCTCTTCAACAAGGTCAACAACAGCATCCTCATGTTCATCTTAATTACTCCTCCCTATCCCGCTTCGGCGCCAGTGCGGTTCCCACTGGGTTTTCCAGCATGCTTACCAGATGTGTTTATTGTGATGGCATGTGCACCGTTTTGCCAAACATCCTTCAGCGAACGGCCGCTGCTACAATGTTGCAACTGCGTGCAGTTGGGCCCAGAGCCCTAAACCCTAAGTCCTCAACCCTGAACGCAGAGCCTCAACTAAGGAGATATTTGCACAGCGAGCTCGCCGAGGGAGAGGCCCATCCGTCTGCTAGTGGTGCGAGGGAGAACTTGCCCCTAAGCCCTACACCCTTACAACCTAAACAACTCCTAAAGCCCGAACCCTGGCCCCTAGCACCCTAAAGCCCTACACCCCAAAACCGTGAAACCCGACCCTGTTGTGCAAATACTACAAGCATGTGGCCTCACGGCCTAAAGTACCGGACTCTTAAACTGAGACACCACACATGAAGTCGCAAACCCACTCAGCCTGAAAAGCGCCTGAAGCCGGGATAGAGTATCCCCGGCTCTCGTGGCATGTCACTGATGTTCGATTCCTTGACGACCCCGAGCCAAGAAGTTTGTACCAGCTATGTTGCCGCTTCTGTGTTTATACACCTATTATGTGTATATATATATATATATATATAGAGAGAGAGAGACAGAGATACAACACATATCGGATACATATGTTATGCCATGTGGTATATGATATGACATTCTGTTCTTTGTGGTATGTCACATCCATGACATGCTGGTGATGTCGAAGCGTCTGTGCCACCGACAAACAATACCTTCATCACATTAGCTTAGCGCCACATCCCTAAGTCTGGAAACCTGAAGCCCCCTAGCCGCTCACAATTACCCCCTAATGTGGCAAAAGGATCGCTCCAAATGCGGCTTCTCTGTCGGGAACCTTTGAGTTTAGACTGCAAGTGCCTGGCAACAGCTTACTGCAGGTAAACCCTCCAAACTGAATCCATCTCTCTGGCCCAGCCGCTGAAACCTTCAATCCAGGACAAAGCAGCGATCAACAAAAGGCTACCTTAAACCCTCAACCTAGACAGCAAAATGACAAGAAGAAACCTTCAGTTGATTTCCCTTCGCCTTGATTGCCAAATCAGAGACAGAGAACACAACACAGAACGCTCAATCGGACACGCCGGCCAGTCGCAGAGAGATTCTCCAGGGGCCACAAGGCACCTAAATCATCCTAAGTCTAAGCTGTTGCAACCTGCCACTTTGTACCTGTAGGGATTTGCCACCCCAAAATGTCATAATTGGGTGTTTCTTTAAGCTCTCGGTTCTTTGAGCCCCAGACCTGCTAAATTCACGTTGTTTTGACGTTTTGTAGGGGTCGTCTTACGGATTTTGGAGCGATTATCGGGCTTCGATGGAGGTTTACAGTTTACAGGTTCTGTCTACAAAAGAACCCACTCAAATTAGAACCAAGTTTGTGTAGGTAGAAGTGCAAGCGAATTTGTTGATCGGATCTAGAGCCCTGCGTGAGCCCTGGCTGCTAAGTCCCATGATCCTAAACCTGCCCTCGCAAACCCTGGCGGTGTGAATTTTCCTTATGCCCGTAGCCGCAGTTCATCCTGCGATTATTATGGGCTTAGTAGTTATGGCCAATCAGACGGCTATCGCCATGAGCACTATATTGCTGATATTGTTAGTCTCATGACCTGCAACGTTGTCTTTTGCTGTTGCTGGTACAAGTCTGCAGCTTTTTATCAACCCAAGAGTGCGTAGGTGGATCAGATGATAGCCTCCGGAGCACTGCCGAAGGAGCTGCAGGCGGAGGCAGGACGTTCAGGGTTTTGGGTTTAGACTTCAGGGTGCGATGTGTGAGACTTTCTGGGTGCGTGCAGTATCTATACGTTGAAGTCAGAAAGGTTGTTCATCGATATAGGGACCTGAATTATTGGAATAAGGTGAAAGGGCCGGGCCCGAACTCTAGTTCAGTCATATCTGCTTAGGGAATGCTGTTACCGATTAGTGAAGCAAGAAAACGTGAGCATGGTGGAGGTTCGCAGCACATGTTGTTGCCACGATGTTCCGCTTACTTTCATGGGGGTCTCGTCCAGTTCTTTTCAAGGCTGGCGGAAAGCTTCGGCTCAGAATAGTAATCAGAATACTACTCATCAAGCTAAGTTAAGCCCCAAACCCAAACAACGTCTACACCCGAAAAGGGCTGAAGCTGTCAGGTGGAGAGCCTTCGCCAAGAAGCTCAGCAGGAGGTGACGAATGACAGCGAGGCGTGCTAGATCTTCTGAAGGATGCCCTTATGAAAACTATCAAATCTACTTCATAGTCCGTATAGTAGGCCTTATCATGACCGAGTTAATCAATGAGGGATGCTTAGTGTTTGGAGTTTTGCTTGTGAGATGTTGAGGCTTCCCAGTGTAAGTGCCTTACGGTTCAGGTGTGTGAGTCGGGATGCAAGATGTATCGAATACGATTTCGGCACAGGGTCGTTGATGTAGTTGTGGATGGTGATGATGTGGGTGGTGCTGTGACTAGGTTTGCGGCTTTATGCTGCTACAGCTGCTGCTGTTGTTCGTAAAAGTCTCAGTCTTGTGAAGGTTATCTTTACTGTCATTGTTCGGGACTGCGGGGTATGTCCAGAATTCATTAAGTGGAGGATGTTGCATATGTGTCCGTCAGGCAAGGTTGTGAAGAATGTAGTCGCAGCATTGTGACGAGCGCAACCAGATTTTACGGTTTGTGTTTTGGGAGGTGCGGGGTCTAGGATGGGCCATGGCGAGGTATGTTACACACGCAGCATGTGTCCTAGACTCCTAAGCCCTAAACTCCGACACCCTTCTTGTCCGTGTGCTTTTGTCTGTGTGTCGGGCTCAAGAATCTCAGATAATCGGCTCCTGCTTGGGTCTTAAGGCTTGTTTCTAGGGGGATGCAGGGGTCAGTCTCACAGCCCAATAATCCGAAAGCACGTGCTGCTAAGTTGCAAAACTCGCACTGCCCAAGTGAGTGTAAGCGCCATGGGGCTAGGCTGGAAATTCTCAACTCGAATCCCCACCGTCACCATACGTCCGAAGCCCTGAACCCTAAGTTCTAAGTGCCGAGACCAAAATCCAAAATCCGAAGACCTAAATCCCAAGACCCTCAGTTGCTGAATCGAAACCCTGAGACTGAAAAGGGTTTAGGGTTTAGGGTTGGACAACCTATTTTATGTGAGCAGCCCCGATTAAGAAGCTATTGTGAGACAGAAAAGGTTCTTCAAACCTAAATCCTAAAACCTAAACCCAGAAAAGGTACAAAAGTTAACCCCAGAAAGTTGGAACATTGAGTTAGGACGATTAGTGCTGGGATCTCCGATGCTTGACCTTAAGGGCATGAGGATCATGATATTCCAACTTTCTGGCTTCTACTATGCATGGTAGGGTCTGGTTACTCCCTAAACTGTTGAGACGCGGAGCAGGTGGGTTACGGAGAAGATGCATCTCGACTGAGTCCTTATCGCCTGTTCCTTTCAGTTTCGTTTTGTTCTTGTTGTGTTGGGAATTCCACTTTGGGATGTTGGAGTTTAGGGTTCAGGTTTCCTTTCTTGCATGGTTTGTCGCTTGTCGAATACGGGCTTCAGGGAGCTTGTGGATACGGATTTTCAATGTCAGGGACTATCCGGAGCCGTAAGCCAATCGACCCTGGTCTCTGTGCTCTTCAAAAGTATAGAATATAGGAGGCTGAAACCGCCGGAGCCCAGACGTCGCAGTTTCTGCGCTTCTTGCCTTGAGGAGGCCGCTGAAACTTGGGCCTTTTGAAAAAGAGGGTCATGGGGCTTGCCAAGTTAGTCCGTGAACCCTGCGAATCCCCGACCCCAACTCCAAACCCTGAAACCCAAACCAAACCCAAACCCTAACCCTGAAGCCCTCAAGCCCCACACCCCGTAACCCTGAACCCAAACCAGGATGACGACGACGACGATGTCGAGGAGGCAAGTGCCGACTCAGGGTTTGACGGCTTCCTCCGAAGATCATAGACTCTATAGACTATGTGTTTATAGTTATACACACATAAACACAAGAATATACACACATACTTACTTACTTACATACGTACATACATACATATGTAGATATACACAAACATACATGTGTACACATATATATATACTTACGCACATACATCTGGATGTATCTATGCGTAGCCTTTACAACTGAAGTAGGGTTTGGGGTTGAGGGGTCATGCTTAAGTCAAGGTAGTTTTCAATAATCACGGTCTACCAGGTCTCATTTGGACGGTGATGTGGAGTCGTGCAAGGGTTTAGGGTTTAAGGGACTTTGTGTTCAGGGTTCCAGATCGACCGTGACAACCTCAGTCCGGGGCGCCTTCATAGAAAGGGTAATGAAAGAGCTGTCTCCCCGTATAATGGTAGTCTCCCCATATACACGTGAACTTGTAGTGACCTTACAATAGTCACCTTGCAGTAACTTTATACTACTCTTAGAGGAACCTTCTACTAGCCTTAAAGCTTTCAGTTGTCTCCCAAGCTGCAGAGGCTATCCTGTCCTCAGGCAGCACCACTGTAAATTGGCTCCGAAGGCAGGAACTTGGCGCTGGGGTAATAAGGGGGTCTAAATAAGTACCAAAGCTATTTCGGGGGCTCCGTATTATAATTTTGGTATCATGAGCACCAAAACCCTATTCTAATTAATATCCGACAACAGCTGCAGTTTGGGACTTAGAATCGGACTTAGTAAGTAAGGTTATACGTACCTTATTGGGGCTTGGAAGTAATTTGAAGCACAGCTGCCTTGTCACGTTGTCCCATGATCCTCTAAGTAGAGCTTCGAGGTGTAGGGCTTGTCAAGAGTATGCCACCCTGATGGTTGTGCCAGTGTCACTGAGCCTTAGATTGTAGCATTTGAGAATGGGACCATGAACTCCGAAAGTCCCAAGTTGGAGTTCCCGAAATTAGGGGTACCTTATTTTGCGGACCGTATAAGCAGGATCCGACTATTTAGGGTACTATATTAGGGTCCCCTATTTTCGGAAACTCCCAATGGCCCAAATCCTGTGAACCTGAACTGCACCTTAAATCAAAGCTCTGCAGGCCCTGTGCCATAAGCTCTACGTAGGAGACTGGTCCTTGTGATGCAGCAAGACTCAGACGGGTGCAGAGATGCTCGCATATTTGCACGAGTCTAGGAATCAGGGTTTTGGAGATTATGTTAAAGATTGCCGGCGCTGCAAGCAGCTAGCACCAGCAAGGAGGCTCGAACTCACTCGTTTCAGCAACGTCGGGTTACTTCTAATTGTGACGATGATGTTTATTGCTTGCCTTGACAGGTCATCAACCCAGCTTTGTCACTTGCATGTATGATGCGCGTGGTTGATGCAGCCGCGTTCATTTCACGAGTGGAGCGTTTAGGGGATCAAGGGGATCTCACCTGCCGCCAGCATGCACCTTGTCGGCAGCCTGGTAGCGCCCCACCCTAAACCCGAACTATTCAACCTTTGCGGGAATTGAGATAACGGAGCCCCATCAGGGTTTAGTCCAGGGCGCACGACAAACTGAGTGTAGATAAAGCAAAAGCACCAGTCATTTTAGTAGCAGAGTGGTATGTTTCTTGGATCCATTCCCAGCCCCCGGCATTGAAAGGCCGAAGCTCATCCAGATGTTCAGGTTTCATGGAGCTGGGATGTATTGTCCTCCGAATCGAGGATCCAAGATTTCAGCAGAACGTCCTGGGATTTCACTCCTGGATGGAATGCGTTCCATCAATCTAGACGGGGTCGATCTTGGATCCCGCGAGGAAAGGAGAATGCAGGCTCATATAATCTCCGCACTCGGATTAGAGTAGGACTTGTCACGGCCCAAGAATCTTATCCTTTCGGTTGGGTATGTCAGTTAGATTAGAAGGGTGGGCAGAGATGTAAGCCAAGTCTGAGCTGATGGCGTTGGTGGTCGTTTGGTTGCCATTTAAAGCTCATGCAACGACTGACACCGACAGCTAGTAATGGACCAGTCACGAACATGACAGCTGTAAATTCGCAAAACCGAGGCATCCCGTCGAAATGCAACCTCAAGCAACCTCAACTTAGTAGTAAGATTGGGCCTTTCGGAACATGGGAGATCACGGATGAAGCCAGAGAGCAGGACGGCGGTGCTACCACTAGCGGCGCAAATGCGCAATGACGCAACAATGTGACATCCAGCGGCTGTAAGAATTGGGAGGAGCTTTACATCACCAAAAGGGAACCGGCAACATAATGCCACGATTCAGGAATCGAAGCATACAGGCGACGCACACCCTCACTGGTACGCACTTGGAGAGACTGCACTGGAGGAGCAGGCACGGTGGCCATACCGATGGCTGTGTTTTGGCAATAGCAGTAGCAGTCCCGAGCTACTGTTGCGCCAAACGATCATAAAGAACTCCGAAAGTATACTGCACTGCAACAAAAAGGCAGACGCCAGAGGCTGTGTTCTATCATTGACAACAACTCTAGTCACTAGTCGTTTTTCAACTTCAGCTTCCACATGAAGATGTCAAATAGCAAACCACCAAAGGTCAACATTACGAGTAACAACAACGCTGCGGATGGCAAGTCTGGCAATCAACAGTTCATAGCGATGGAGGGCGACAGTAGCAGTTCTTGAAGTTGCAAGAACATCGAACTATGTCGCCATCAAGTGTAATATTACCAGTCGTGGGAAGGCATGTGCTTGCTCAGCTCATCAGGATCCTCATCAGTGCATCAGAACGGTGGGATGTTTGGCCCTGGTTTGTCCATTATTAACAAGTCTGACGCGTGCACGGACAGCTGTGCCAAGGGACCCTGCATGCATTCACCAACTCCAATTCAGTCTCGACTCCACCTCACAAAGTTTAGGGTTTAGCGGTTCTTACATGTCAAGTGTTGTAAACAGTTAGTGTCACTCCTGGCTGGAACGTACGAAAGCTATGGCCAAGCGATACTGAGGTTCACATGCTGTCAAGGCTATTCGTCAAACTCCAACATGGAGGACTGGTCGTTGTACCGGCGAGCAGTCTAACATAGGGGCTTTTTGGGGGGTATATTCTACTATAAACAGAATAAGGAGCCCCCAAAACCCTATTCTAATTCAGGCCCTTACAGTAGAGCTGAAGGATCCCGATAGAGCCCAGTATGTTTTCCCACATAGGTCAGGGCTCCATGCTCCACATTTCCGGAACAAGAATAGGATTTGGGGATCTACTACTCTATCATATTGATATAGGGACCATAAGGGAATACTACTAAGATCTATGATGGGGACTAATTGAAGGCGGTAAACCCGACATCCTCAACCTTAAACCCCAAACCCTAAACCCTAACCCCAAAACCCTACAGTTCCTTATTATAGAACCCCTTATGGATCCCTTTAAAGGAACCCCTTATAGATCCCTTTAAAGGAACCCCCCAAACCCAAAACCCAAAGACCAATTTCAGCCTGAATTCGATCGCAGGAGCGCCTGGGCGGGGTGGGCAGCTCCTTCGTCAATGCCGATGAGGCCACGCCTAAGGCGGCCATTCCTAAATCATGCGTCGGCCGCTTGTATGAGCTTCGATTTCGGGGCTTGGGGCTTGGAGTTCAGGGTTTAGGCTTATAGCGGCTGGAGGTTAGGGCCACTATGTGCATGAGTTGGTGCACAGTTGGGGCTTTCGGTTTGCTGGGAGCCGTTGAAAAACTTATTCGGAGGTTGAAGTTGCGAGATTTCGAGTTGGGGTTGTGACGCCTTTGCGGCCATGGTAGAGCTCTGCCAGTCCAACAGCCAAGAAAACGAAGCCTCCCACTTCATCAAAGTGGGCCCCGGAACCTGAGCCCCGCAGAGCCTTCGGCCAAGGATGGACTGACAACCTGATTCTGGCTACAGACAGCTACAAGTTCAGCAGCTTGCTTTGGGATTTCAGGGGGTTTTAGGGCTGAAGGGTTTAGGGTTTAGAGCCAAGCGTAGGACGATGTAGCATCAAGTGCTGAGGTGTGGGGGATCGGGGCTGGGGTGACGGAGAGGAATTTTGGGACTTCCAAATAAAACAACTCTTGTAGCTCTAGTCTGCGGGGTTTATGGGGTTTGGGTCCGGGCTTTAGAGCTTTTAGCCTTTCGGATTTAGCGATACTGGTCCTTGCCTGGGGCCGGGGGAGCCTTGGGTTCGGGGGCACCGCGTCCTGAAGGTTACAATATTAAATACTTGGAGGGTCGGGGGACTTAGTTAGTAGGTAGTAAGTAGACTTATAAGTACCCTAAAAGGGACCCTAATTGGGGTTATGGTTCTTTTTCGTCCCTAAAATAAGCAGTTACTAAGTCCCCCGACCCTACAAGTACTTCGCCTGGTTGAACCCTGAGCCTCCCCTCCCTCCACAGAATAAATACATGGGAGTTTCCGAAATTAGGGGTACCTAATTTTGGGGTCTTTATATTAAGGATCCTACTATTTGGGGTACTATATTAGGGTCCCCTATTTTCGGAAACCCCCATATAAACATCACGCACACCCACCCACAGACTTGCACGCGCCTGCACGGACGGACAGGACGGGGCCATTCCATATAAGCGTAGCTACAACAGCTATGGGCCTACTTTGGTCGGCTCTCTGCTACCAGGTCACTGGAAGCAGTATCCAAAGGGCACTCAGTATGTGGCTTGGCACAAAGAGTGACAGGTTTCAGCTTTGCCCTTTTCTATTCAGGTGCCCGGTGGCGTGGGACCTGTTTCCGATTTTTGCCGCCACTGTTTCGGCGGCCGCCTCATTATATACATATATATATATATATATGGTTATAGTATAGTATACCCCGAAACTGATTGTAAAGTAATTCCTCCCCCACACTCAAAGTATTGACCTCGCCAAAATTTCGTCGAACTACATCTTCAAGCTGCTCCGCCATTATGTCACTATGCGAAACTCTCCCTACCCTGAGTTTGTAGCTCCGAACTCTAAAGTCACAAGCTGTATCACCTTCAGCCTCATCCTTTCACACAGCCTCGCGCGGTGTTCTTCGTGCTGAATTCAGCCGCCGGTGCCAGCTGCAAGACTTTCTCACAGCAGCTTTTGAAGACGTCCCCACGAGAGCCCCAATCAAACGCCGCAAGCTGCGCGCTAGCAGCCCACCCCAACTAAGCCGTAAAGCAGAGCCCTAGTCATCCCTACCCTTCATTCTTAGCTGCCCTAGCTAATTAAGGTCTACAGCTACTTCGAGAGCCGCGGCTGCGACCGCGAAGGCTGGAACGAGGCCGATACCGTGGGGCTGGATTCTCGCTGGGGTAGGGGCGTCTCAGCATCGGGGGTCCATTTCTAGGGGTCCTTACATATATCAGGGATCTCACCGTTTAGGCAAGGGATGGGGGGCCTGACGACTATACTTGCAGCGCTACGTGATTGACATCGGTGGTGCTAACAGCATGAACACGAAGGAAGCAATCAACGAGAGTGGAGAGAATAGATTCTGTACCACCTCAGCGAGGACGAACAGGCAGGAAGGGAGGGCGCATATCGTGGCACGAGGACCTGCATGTACAGGAATCGATTGGGATAGACTGCCACTTATCCAGTGTGCAAACTGGGCAGCAGTTTGAACCGACTTGGTACTAACTTGCCGATCGAGTTCTTCGGCTGGCATTTGTGGTTGCTGTTGCGTTTGGGGGTTCCAGACTGATGAGCTGCAAGCGCACAAAAGGCAGATGTGGGTACGAAGCCCAGATTTCCCTTGCCCTAACTTCACCAAGCACTGTCTTGTCGGTATCTCTTGCGAGGTCTGCTTCTTCGGACTCCAGTACTTCATCAAGCGCTACCTGTGTGGTCAGGCACCGGACGACCCAGCCTCCCACCAGCCCAACATGATGACAATGCCGATGATGATGAGTTTGAAGATGAAGACGACGACGCGGATGCTGATGCCGAGGAATATGCTGGTCATCAGTGCTGATCATCGTCAACATCATTGTCATCATCATCATGGAAGAGTGTGCGTCCGGTGATGCTGGTAGTGGTGACGTTGCTGCTGCTGATGATGATCTTGTCTTTCCTGCTTCTTTGAGCAGCTACGACGGGTGATGCTCGTCGCGGGGCGGAAGCTGCGACATCCATACAGTGTTCAGTAGCATCAGTAGCGGAAGGCATAGCAAGGCTTCTGTTCCTGATGACAGCATGGAAACGCAAATTTGACGGTCCCACCCCGAACCTTGGCGTGCCTTGTGCTAGACCTAGCAGCCGGGCTAGGGTTGGTTCTGAGATGTACGGTGGCTGGCCCGAGTTGGAGGACCAATTGCTCCGCTCATGGTAGCTGTGGCCTCAACTGTAGTTGAAATGATCACCTGATTTGCAACACACCCAGGAAAACCACACTACCTTCCGGATCCTCCAAGCACACCTTGCAGCCTCCTCGACGCAATAGGTCTACCGCAAGGACCATGAGACTTAGCAGGTAGGGTCCAGGGTTATGAATACGGTAACTATACGCGTAGTTTCTTCTCCCTATGACCTTACCCTTACCCAGTCCCATGATCCTCCAAGCAGCTCTCCATCCTAAAGCACCCAACATCCAAGTCGCGCGACCTCGTGACAGGTCATCACTCGCGCGAAGATTGACGAGGCCGCAGAGCACTCTCCTCAGCTATGTGAGCTCTTAATCATCAGACGCACAGCAATAAGTGCAGTCATATCAACGAGAATAATAACAATGCTACTAACAAGGATACATATATATATATATACATTTAATATGTGCATCTACATAAGTAAACCGAAACCCACAAAGAATAAGACATGTGAGCACGTGGGAAATTTGAGCACTCCCTTTGCCGTGGACGAGTCGCAGCTCGGAGAATGATGATGGGAAAAGGCGCCCAATCCCTCGGAAACTTCCCAGAGTGTTGTTGGTGTTTACTGTAGGCCTTAAGATGAATAGCAGAAGAGATCTCTGCAATAAGTTACAAACAATCGAAACTGACCGAGCAGACAGAACAGTGGCGAGGGACCACCTTGGTGAAGAGGCTGCCCGACGCATTGACACCAGATGCAGGCCCTAATCCCAAAAGCCCTACTCTGCAAAAGAGCCCTCTATCTCAAACTCTCAAACCCCAAAGCTCCAAAAGCCCAAGCCCCAGAAACCCCGAACGCATGAGCCCGAACTGTTCCACGCCCTAGACACGCAACACGGAGCCACCAGAAAGACTCCGAACACCTCACTTGGAGGATCATGGGACATATTAAGTAAGGTTATAAGTACCTTAATTGGGGTTATAAGTAGTTATAAGTATAGTTACTCTAGTTATAACCCCAGCTACTAAGTCCCATGATCCTTTAAGCACGCGTCAAGGGCGCAAGGCGTGGAATAAACGCAGGTGGGAGGCCCTTTGAAAAGCTGAGGCTCTGCGCCGAGCACTTCCAAGGCGACGGCCTCTTCTACAAGGAGGGAAGCCTGGCAGCATTCCTGGTAGTCGAGTTTCGGATTTTGAGGGTTTCGTAATTTGGGGTGTTTAGTAGTTTAGGGTTTAGGGTTTCGGTGCGGCATAAAACCCATATGCTTCCAAAAGTTAGTTCCTGTATGAGTATACCAACCCTGTTGCTGCACAGCTGCTGCATTCACGATGTGCATGTGGCTGTCGGGATAGACGGGAAAGTGAACCCCAAAGTAACAGCAGCTTATGGGCTCTTGAAGAGGCTGGTAAGCAACTTCAAATTCCGGGCCGCAGCATGTTTACAGCAGCAGCCAGCAAGAAACATTGCTATCCTCATGCCCCTTGGGTGAAGCATAGGCAAATCGTCCTTAACCCATGTTCCAACTTCCCGTTGCTCACGGTATCTCCACCTGAGGCTTCGAGTACATCCTCAAGAAGCACGGAGGCGAGGGCTGAAAGATCAGAGACAGAGGTTTCATGAGCCATGGAGCAGCCAGGGTAGATCCGACTTCGGACTTGGGAGTTTCCGAAAATAGACAATTTAGTACCCTAAAGGATCCTTATGACCCCCCCCCTTCCCCCGCTGAATAAGCGTGCCCCGCAAAATAAGCAGTCAGAACACTGCTGTCGGCTGAGCTCCATGGACACGAAACTCAACTCGCGGTTTGCAGGGTTCCCAAGTGGGAGATTTCGAAATACTTAGCACCATCGTTCCTTAGTGTTGTTTGTCACATCAGAATACAAGATTCCCAGAACGATTTACTGTTTAAGTTGCTATAGGGGCCTGAGAAGTTCGAATAGGGTTTTAGTATAAATGTAACAAAGAACCCACCCAAAATGGTATGGGTAATTCTTTAGGCCACTATATTAAGGCTCTTACATGACGGGGCTTCTTATTACAGCTATAGTATAATATACCCCGAAAGCGCTAATCTAATCATAAAGGACCCTACATTAGCCCATAAAGAAACCCCCCAAATGTAAGGGCTCTTGCATGAGTGACCTGGTGTGCCCAACGTCTGAAAGGACGGCTTCCGATTGAGATCAAGGCTCTCCCAGAAGGCACCGAAGTGGGATTCTGCTCTCACACAGATACAAATCAAAGCTTGGGGCTTAGGGTTTAGGCTTTAGGATTTAGGAATATTTAGGATTTAGGGTTTAGGGTTTGGGATTTAGGGTTTAGGGTTTGCGATTTAGGGTTTAGGGTAGATACAATAAGAGTACCTATGTATTGTGAACAACATGCAGCGTACATGCAAGAGAAGATCTTTAAATCAGGGTTTAGTGGGTTCACTGTTTTGGAGTGTGGAAGGGGTTGGGATGTCGCGGTTTGGGGTGTAGGGATCTGATCAGACGCTTTTGAGGTACACATGGCGAGTGTAGAGTACCGCCGGGATGTCTGATTGCATGGACCCCTCAGGGTAAGTTGTAAGGCTTCAAGTGTTCAAGCATATTTTCCCGGCAGTGCAAGGCTTCGGAGCCACCATGGCGGGAATCGTAGTCTTCGAGCTCTGCGAAATGGTCGTAGTCACCAGAGTAGGGATGAAGTAAGATATGGGCATAGGCAGGAGATTTTATCTGAACTTTCGGGAGTTTCAGATAATGGAGGTCCTTGATTTGAAACCCTCCCGAATAGTAGGATTCCTCTTCTAAGTTAAACCCTGCAGCCCTTGAACTCCAAGCCCCCAAATCCGAAGGAGGCCCTAAACCCTAAGCCCCTAGGTCCTGCACGGTGTATGATATAAATCCTGCATTACCTTAAGGACCCTAAACTATGGGAATTATGGTACATTCCTTGTTATGGGTAGTGCAGGATTTATATCATCAACCGGTAGCTCTACCCCCCCAAACCGCCGTGCCTAAGCGCGCATGTCTCGAGAAAGAGGATGCCGTTTCAGAGCCTCCAGCAACGACGAGGGTTAATATAGGGTTTTGGAGCATATGATACTAGAATCATAACAGGGTTCTCCATAGCTAGTGTTGGCAACCACTAAGGCCCCAAGATCAAGCGGGTTTAGGGTTGTTTAAGGGTTTTTATGGTTTAAAAATATCACCAATTCCTACAACATGGTAGGTTATGAAGCTGGGAGCCCAGCAATTTTCTGTAGGTATATACCCATACAGCAGCTCGTAGAGCCCGAGCTTGATGGTTCACAGATTATATATCAGGCAGACCGCGAAAAGACTCCAGTTGAAGACAAAGCGGATTCTTGAAGTTAGTTGTCCTTCATCTTCGTGCGCTTAATCAGTACAGGATCCTACTATGTAGAATTTACATCTGGAGTTCCTTGGTTCCTGAAGCTCTGGCCAGCGGCAAAGACGTGGCTGCCAGTACAATGCCCCGTGACAGCCTTGCATGACTAGGATGCCCAGTAGTACCCTCATTCCCTTTTTGTAGTCCTAGGTTCCTTATAAAGCTACCCAATACCAAAAAGAGAGGCCTTTTTATTCTTAGGTTACTGGGTATCCTAGATGAACTGTGACCCGAACCCCCCCACAAACTCTAGAACTCTAAGCCCGAAACCTGCCGCGCACGCTGGAGCCCCAAATCCATACCTAGACCCCCCAAAGTAGGTAAAAGAATGGCCCAAAACCTGTACAAGGCTACATATTTTTTGGGGGTCCAGGGAAAAAAACAAGCTGAACTTGATCAGGCATGGTGGTGCCGACGAAGACAGCGCTCTTCACCATGGTAGCTAGGTTGTCCAGATGCATACTTTCTGCTTTCTTGCTTCTAGGTTCCTATTGCAAGATAACTTTCGCAAGAACACGTAGAGTAATCCTTCAAAAGGCCTTATGGCTTTCCCAAAATACGCTCTTGCCCAGTAGGTTTATGAGCAACCAAGGTAAACACGGATCCCGAGTGCTTCTGGCTGACCAACTTCCTCGAGACGCTCTTGGTTCAGGCGGTTTGGGACTGCGGGTTCCTTCAATAAGGGTTGCTGTACGTGTTATAATAAAGGGCACCACAAGGGATCTATACGGGTCGGGGTTTGGGGGCCTCTTTTAGGGTTTGGGGCTTTAGGGTTTCTGGTTGTGTTGGGTTTTGGGTAGGATTTGGGTTGGGGTCTAGGATACTGCTACGACCACAACAGCTACCGCTACTGGCACTACCACCACCAAGCTACCACCACTAAGGCCATGCGAACTGCTAGCGGTCTTATGAGTCCCTCTTCTGTGCTGGTTACGGCCTTTGTTAGACGTGGGGCTCGGAAATGCAGGCTGAGTTTTGATGTGGCAGAATTTGAGACCCCTAGCCCTTAATTTAACCCAGTTCTACTTGTTGAGACCCCTATATTTAGCCCTAAACCTTCCGTTTTTCGGGTCACCAATTAAAGGGTGATGTTCTGTGCAAGCCATCAACTCAAGTTGTGGCTTGGGTATCGGGCTTAGGGTTATAGGTCTTTGTGTTCAGAGCCATCGCCCGAACACTCAAACCGGAAGTCTCTTTCTTGTTGGTTGAACGCAGTCACCGTCGCCCAAAGTGAGCCGGAAGAATTGCATCCGATTGCTGCCTGATCAGGTGTGGTATCCGATGACTGTTTGCAGCAACAGCCGCTACCAGAAGATCTCCATTCAGAAGGCTTGAGATCGCAGAAGTACTATAGGTATAGAGGCCGGCATAAGAATACAGTAGAAGCCCAAAAGTTGGAAACCCAATAGCCTCAATCCTTAAGAGTAATGTGTATGGAATCCCAGCATTCTTTGGCCTTAATCCGGTTTCCAACTTTATGGGGTTTACTGTGCTATTCCTTGGGTGTCAATACAGTTGTATACTGCAGCACCATTGTCGATGCCAAGCCTATCAAAAAGACCGGCTAGCGATGAACCGTGAAGAATATGTCGTGTTTTAGGGTTTAGGGTTGGGGGTTTGACAGTCATAGTCGTCAACTATTCGAAGTACGGCCCGGTTTCAACAGAGGTCGCATTTTCGCCACGGCCATCACCATCACACTCAACAGCAACATGATCATCTTCACCCCCATCGCCTTCAGCAGTACAAGTACCGTTGCTATGGGCAGCCCTAAACCCTGAGCCCTGAGCCCTCAACTAAATCCCAACCACAAAGCCTTAAACCCTAAACCGTAAACTCGAAACCCTAAACCCTAAACTCTAAACCCGAAACTCTAAACCCTAAACTCTAAACCCTAAACTCGAAACCCTACACCCTAAACTCTAAACCGTTAAACCCGACACTCAGCATCATGGCGTGACGGCCAAAAGCCGAGGGTTTAGGGGTTGAGGGTTTAGGGTTTAGGGACTAAAGCGACTGCCCTGATTCTTGTAATGTAGGGGCCTGAATGATTACCTATACTATTTTTTCGGGGCTCCTTATTAAAAGTGTACCCCAAAACCCTATTCTAATCATTAAGGCCCCTATATTAGCTACCCTCAAGCCTAACAAGTCTGAGAGCAGGCGCTGGAGGAGACGGGCATGACAGAATGGGCACTACCGGGAGGAGTCCCGACGTGGGTATGCGTTCGGGGTTTGAGTGGTCTCCGGATCAAGAAGGTTGAATTTGTGGGGGGGGTGGGGGGCTCCTTATTATAGTTATAGTATAATATTGCCTTCCAAACCCCATTCCAATTATTAAGGCCTACTACATTAGGGTTGGAGGTCATTGATTACGGTCTAGGGTCTAATGAGGAGGACTTGGGTTCTAGCAGAACTTTCTGGCGAATCGAGATGTCAGGGTCCAGGCTTTGGGCATTAGGGGACGGTAAGGGAGGAGTTTAGGGATTCGACAGGATTGGGGACGAGGGTATGGGGTTGAGGGTTTCAGGTTTAGGTTAGCATCTGTTGAGTGTGTTTTCTTGGGCTGTAAGAACTCGAGCCGACGCGTTCGTTCACCCAGGATCCCTGAAAGGCACCCTATAAGGAGCCCTTAAAGGAGTTCCTGCATAAAGGGTCAAGGGTTTAGGGGTTTCGGGTTTAGGGGTTTCGTGTTTAGGGTTTAGGGCGAATCCTTCTAGATCCATTCTTGGGTTGCCTTTCTGCACACAGGATCCGGCTTCAAGTTGCACGATTTCGGCTTCCGCGGAGTGTCCTCTGTGGAGTCCGCGGCCATCGGAGGAGTTCCTTAGCCCCGAAGTCGCCGAATTTCCGATAAAATTTGAGATATACATTCGGTAGTCTATAGTGTAGTGTAGGCTATATTAATATAGACGGGAACATTTTAGAGTAGCTAAGGGTTCTATATAGGTTTCAGGTTTGTTGTTTATCCTGGTTGTTTGGCCTGATTTTGAGTTATATGGTATACAGGAAGAAATGTGTTTGTAATAATTTGACAACCGTAATCAAGAACTTGTGCTGAGCATGATGCTCGCTGGTGTACGTTAAGTTACACATGCAGCATGAAAACGAATGCTGGCGCACACAGTGCCAGCATCATCGCGACGCCATTGACGATGCCCAAAGCTGCTGCAATTGCATCTTTGCCCGATATTGTGGTGCGTCATAGATGAGTATGAAGATGCTGAAGTTGCTCTGGGGATGAGATGTATCACAGTCATGATGTGGGCTTTATTCCCCGAGCAGTGTGGTAACACGATGGGGTTCTTGTGTTGCGGGTCAAGAGACTTGATTGAGGTTCATGCTGCTTCATGCTGCACGTTTGGTCGCCGCGTCCCATTATTTACACAGGACCCGCGAGGGCTCTCGCTGTGGTGCGGTGCAATGCATTGTCTTCGCTGAAGTCTGTTTACATCGAATCCGCGCGGCGATGCTCCCCCAGTCCCAATTGGAATACATGCATGGGTGCTTTCGAAACTTGAACTGCAGCAGTGCTTGCGAAAAAAAATCAAGGTGTCCCGAATCCTGCAAGCTGAGCGTGGAACCAGAAGTCTCGTGTTCCCGAAGCGCGCCAGCAACTGGGGGGAAACTGATTCGTGCTGTTGCTGAAGCCACCAGTGCTTTCGGGGAGCGATTCCGCTGTGCTCTCGAATGTTTCTGAATTACGCCAGTGCTTTGGGGGAAAGCATAAAGCAGTTTCGATGTCTCCTGGTGGTCTCTTGGGGTTTCCTGAGTCTTGAGCTGATTTCCTGCTAGTCTCTGGGCGATCTCCTGGTGGTTTCCTGGTGGTCTCCTGGCGGTCTCTTGGTGGTCTTTTCGTCGTCTCCTTTCCTGATGTGAAGCATGGCTTGTATTACCATTTTGGTGAGTGTAGATAGGGCTCCTTTTGAATTTTGGTGGGTGTATGTATTGGGTTTTATTATGGGGATACTAGTAATATAAACCATACTCTATGTCATGGTGGTCAATTGCTGGTTTCTTGCTTGCCTTCTGGCCTTCTCTTAGCGGTCTCCCGGTCCTGGTCGTTGTCGTCCCGGTCGTCCTGGTCGCAGTTCTGTCGTCGTGGGTGGTAGCATTGGCGTAAATGGGAGTTTCCGAAAGTTGGGGACCCTAATAGAACTAATTTAGTACCCTAAATAGTAGGATCCACCAAAATGAGGTTTCGGAAACGCCCAAATCGACCTGCGTCTTTCCATGCAAGTCAGCTCCGTTCGTATGTGAACAGTGGTCGAGACTTCTAAGGGGCACAATGGAGTTCTTTTGGTATTATAAGGGCCTTAATAGTTACAATACTAGTCTAAATTTGGTTGTTCCTTATTATACTTATAGTATGATGTACTCCAAAGCCCTATTCTAATGCTTAAGGCCCCTATAGCATGGTCTTTCGCTGTTTGGGGATTTTCGCTGGAGCATCTAATAGCCATGGCCATGGCGACTTAACGATGACGGCAGCAGCGCTGATGATGTTGCTATTGCCTTCTGGATTTAGTGCTACGCATCCTTCTTATGTTGCAGTTATTGATGACGTTGCTGGAATGCAGGCATCCACCGGCACAAACTCCCACACAACCAGGCTGCCCACTTGGTGAACTTTGTTGGCACTGACACTGTCGCTGCCCTCCTCTGCTGCAAGAAGTACTACGGATCAGCGCTTCTCGGCAACTCCGTGAGCTTAGGGCCTCATTTAGGGTTTACCATAAACCCGGAATAACCTACCTTTTCAAGAACTTGTATAAAGAAATCATAACAAGGAACCCTGAAAAGGTAGGTTATTCAGTTTAAGGTAGGATTTAGGGGTTCAGGGTTTGGTTTGGTGTTTTGGTGGTTGAGGGTTCGCGGTTGGAAATGAGACGTTACCCTTAGTTTGTTCGGTCCTCAGCTCCGCTAAATGCTAGAACCAAGCCCCTAAACTCGGGAAGTGCAAACCCAGCCTCAACCCAGTAGCCCACACCCTGCACCCCAAAGCAAGAATCCTAAAACTATTTTAAGCATATTTAAAGCCCATATCCTGCACCCCAGCCCCAATGACCTAGCAGCCGATGATGGAAGCCTCATGGAATCCATTTAATTTGAAGCCCTGAGAAATCTTCTCACCTGGTGGAATTCCCCTGACAGAGTTGAATGCAATACTGCAACAAGCCCTAATAGCATCCATTCCAGGACCCCATACCGGAGTAGCGGACGCATGGGTTTTTACTGTTTCTACAGGACATTCCCAAGGCTTCCGCTGCTGTCGAGGACTAGGGAGGGTGGGGGGATGAGGAGGGGCTTAACAGCATCCGGCCGTCGCATATCCTCTCGAGTGCGCATTTGCTAGGTTTAGGCTTTTGACCGCTGATGGCGTGGAATCCTTGGGAATCATCAAGGTGTTGTTGACTTCTGAGAAACCTGTAAGAAGTCTGTGGGGAACCTGTGAGAGACCTCTGAGAAACCTGTGAGAAGTCTGGTGATAATGAGAAAGATGACGATAGCGATGCTGATGACGGTGATAATGATAACGACAATGATGTTGATGACAGCGATGATAATGCTGCTGATGATGGTAATGGTTAAAAGACGATGATGATGATGATGATGATGATGATGATGATGATGATGATGATGATGATATTGCTAACCGTAACAATGCGGTAGTTTCCGTGATATGAGGCAAGCCTGTGTTTGGCAGAAATCGTGCTAACTCCGCAGCTTCGCGCAGTTTCTAAGTACGACTGCAATGTGGCGCCTGGTGTGCAGGTACCCATACGTATAGGAACCCTATTGGCAAACAGCAAATTCAAGCTTCTGAAGCTGAGGAAAGCTGCCGGATTTTCGATCCCAGCATCGGAGCACTCGACGATCACCTCCTGGGGCGTGAACGGCGAGGCATCGTCTCAGTGTTGGAGGAGCGTTTAGGGTTCAGGGTTTCAGGAGTTGCGGTTTGAGGATTTTGACATTGCTTGTTTTGGAGTTTATTGGGTTTGGTGTCTAGGATTTGTGTCTTATTACGGCGTGTTTAATCTTCTTGACTGAGATGAGTTTTAGGTATTGCTGCCGAGTCTTTGCAGAGCCAATCTTCAGGCTGTTGCTGACTTTTGGGGTTTCGAGTCGACGAGGTTAGTTGCGAGCTTCTGAAGGTTCTGATTCGTTGGTGCTTTCCATTTGAGGTTGCGTTAGATGGGGGATGTACCATCTTTGTGATTTTGAGGTTAAGGTTCAGGGGAGGTTGGCTTTCATGTGGGGTTCATATCGCTTTTACTTCGGGTTGGGGTTTCGCTGAAGACAACTCGATCCCGCTGTCCCGTGTAGGGCTTTTATTTTGGACCAGTGTCTACTATAGGGGCCTCAATCATTACCTATACTATTTTGGGGGTTCCTTATTCTGTCTAGTATAATGGGTCCCAAACCCTATTCTACTTATTCAGGCCCCTACATTACGAGGTTTAGTTTGGGCTTCTCGGGATTTGGAGTTTTGCGTTTTGGGCTCGGTGTATTTTAGGGGGTTTAGGGAGAAGAGCAGCCCCGAAGGGGGGGAGGGTTCTCAGAGATTCCAAAATCCCTAGATTAATGAATATGCCTTAAATCATAGTAGGGTTCCTATCATCAATATGCCTTAAATCATATTAGGGTTCCTAGTGTAATTTAAGGTATATTCCTTAATTAAGGGCTTTTGGTTGTTGAGGCACTTTGGGGCGCATTCTCCTTGGAAGCAGTTTGGTTCGAAGTGCGGCTTCCGGTTTGTGTCCTCCCTATCGCCTATCGCCATGGCCTGGCACCTGTTGTTCCTGATCCTGGTGATGGCCGATGCCCACGCATCCTGCGACCCAGAGCCGGCTGAAGATGCCTTTGTGCAGCTAACGCCGGGTCACGGTCGCTCCAGCAGGGCCAGGGCCGAGCCTTCGACTCCACAGTCCCAGCTTCAGAACGCCTTCCAGAATGCCAAGCTTTGCCTCTTGATCCAGTACCCCAAAGGCGGTCCCTATCCTATGCCCCCTTGCAACTTTGAGCCAGTCGACTGTGCTGACCCAGCCATCGCTTTGTGCTGCTATCAATGCCTTCCAACTGTGCATGGCTGTGATGGTCCAGAGCTTGCTCCACCCTGCCAGGCACGAAACGCCGCCTGCGAGATGGCTCTCTTTATGGTGGACGACGCGAACCCTCTGGCTCAACCGCACCTTTACGTCGTGCCGGGCACGTACCCTTCCGCTGCCGTCTCAAGGCCTGAGATGTTGGCTGTGACGGGAGGCTATAATCTGGACATGTGGCAGGTATTGCAAAATCTCACGGCCATTTGCTTCGGTGATAATTTCGAGTGGCTTCGACATCAAAGCGATTTCATCAAGAAGAAGTCGGACGCCGTCGATTTTGCCTGTTCGGACAATGGTGCGCAGTGCGAGTTGAACCCCAACTCGACGGCAAGCACCCCGGAGGGGGAGGACGCCATGAAGAGAATGCAGCAGATTTTGCGGGCAGCCAGCATAACGGCCGGTGACTTGCTCATACAGATATCGACGCGCTTTACGCCGGCAGGGAAAATCGCAGCCACAATCTTCCAGACAGCGTCTGGGCTTGCGCTGGAAACAACGAGTGGACTTCCCACCAATCCCTGCACTTATGCTGGGACAGAGTGGGGCCAATGCGTGTGGTGGCAAGTCCGAACGTATGTGGAAAGGTACGTCACCAGCTATGTGAAGGAAGCGCTGAAGAAGTACAATCATGGGCAACTCGAAGACAGACTGGGCCAAATCCAGACTCAGTTGAAGAGCATCAAACAGCACTACAAGGACCAAGTTAACAGCAAAGAGTCGATAGAATATGTTGTGCAGCAAATGGAGCAACTGCGCAACAAGATGGTGGGAGATGGGACGTGGTTTTTGGACAGCGAGCTTCTGGTCCAGTTCTTCACCATCGACGTGACTCGGCAGTTCTTGAACAGCTTCTTGAATTCAGTAAGGTCTTTTCTTAACACGGAAGCAATGGGTCACCATGCTGGACAGCCCTAAACCCAGGTGAGTGTACAGACCCTGGCGTTATCTGCTGCGGATCTCCGAACCGCTTCGTGGCTCATGACCCTCCCGGCCAGTGCTCTGTGCTTTGCCAAGGCTCTCAGACCGGAATCAGGGTTTACCCAGAGGCCCCAAAGTAGTTCCTTTTGGGGGTTCATATATAGAATCCTACAAGGTAATCCCCAGAAGGAACTACTTTGGGGCCTATGGGTAGGGTTTATAAGGATGTTGTTTTCTGTGAGCTTTGCCAAGGCTCTCTGAAGCGTGGCACCTACTTCATGCAGAATCGGATGTCGGAGCTCAAGGCCATCAAGGTCAATCGCACGAAATATTTGTTTGGTGACCATGTCCCATACTACTACTTCGGTCAGTTCGATGCAATGTGCCAGACAACAGAGAACGATGCATTCAAAGACAGCCCGTACATCTGTGACCCTGCGTACGGCCACTACGACGAAGGTCCGGGCATCAAATTGCCCAAGAACCTGGGCTCTTGTGCAGAGGGCATAGGGTTCAGGGTTGAGGGCTCAGGGAAAAATTGCCGGGTATCCCGCTCATGGTAATTGACGTTACAATTGAGGCCCCTGACAAGAACCCAGGAATGAACAGGGCCACGGCGTGTGCGGTGCCGCGCAAGACAGCGGCTATTTTCCTTGGCTCAACTGGCAGTGCCACCAGGCCAGGCCAGGCCGGTCTGTTTAGGGTTTACGTAGAAGCGTCCTTTTGGAGGTCTCATCAAAGGTCCGGCTTCTTTGAATCTTGCCAGACAAGCAGAGCTAAGAGTGATGCATACGGCCCTGTATACGGCAAGCCTAAGCCCCAAGAACCCTAAACCGCCTAAACCCTAATTAAACCCTGAATCCTAAACCCTACACTCACCGGAACCCCAGGTGGAGCCCTGAAGCCATGTCAGGCCCATATCCGGAAAATGCAGCAGAGCATTTGGGCTCACTTCATAGCTCCCATCTTCGGCATGGTGGAGCTAGCTTTGAACCAGTCCTCCACGCATGTGTCGCAGTCGCTTGGAGTTGATTGAGCAACCTGAAAAAAATTATTCCTGCAACATTTGGGTGAGGGGAAGGGAGGCGGCTAGGGAGGGAAAAGACTAATTTGTGTGAGGGCTGCCATGGAATGAAAGCAGCTGGGTCTGCTCCAATGGCCTCGCGTCCACCACGGTCGCCGCTACCGCCGACCTGTTCCTCGCTTCTTTTAAAGTTTCACAAGGCTTGATACAAGGGTTTGATAGGATTCAGGAGCTAGGGGATTTACGGAACTCAGGTTAAATTGCCATCATCGGTGTTTTATAGCATTTTTGAGGGCAGTATGAGGGATTGAGAGGGCTTTGAAGAACTACTTTCGTCAATCTCAGATTATATACATAGTAGCGGATTTCCTTACTTTCGTTACTTAAACTAACACCCTGAGCAAGAACCAGGAGCGACCCCTATGCCGGCAATGACGGGGCGAGTGTGCAAATGCTTGCGAACTGCCCCTTCGAGGTCATAACAACCTTCTCCTTCCGAGAAAGCTCAAGCGACAAGGAAGATTCGAGCAACCCATATCGATTCACTATGTGGACTCCGGTGGCTTGGTTCTTGCCAAGGAACTTATCTAAAGTTACCATAACTCATAAACCATGTTGTTTACGATGCATAGATTCCTATCATGACAACTTAGATTAACGGTGGGTGGGACGCACCTCAATATTATGTCGGTGACGTTTGTCAAAACAGCTGGCAATCCCCTTTGCAGTGCCTTGGCCACATTCAGCATCTCTGTCTCTGGGTACCCCCCCTACCCTACACCCCCCTTAAGAACCCCGAAAAGCCCTGAAAGCCTTTAACCCTTCAGACCCCAGAGTGGGGAAAAGGGGAGAAGATATGAAGGTCCATGATCTCCTTCGTCTTGAACCCGCGAAAAGGCTACGAAGATGCTCTGCAGCGCCCAACAGGCAGAGATCACCTCGATTTCGGAGTGGGGGTAGGGTTTATGAGAGTTTAGCGACACAAGGACGATGCTGACATAAGAGAGGTGCTTTGAGAAACTAGTTGCAGCATGACTGATGACTTGGCAAGACGAATAATTGAGACCCGAATCCCTAAACCGTGGGAAACACGCTGACAAGAATAGCCGCATACCCAAAACCGTAAGGTCTGTAAAGCAGAAGCCTGAACCCGAAGCTCCGCCAATGCCAGGGATGGTTTTCAACTGGGACAACCACGACACCGATGCCTACAAAGGACATGACTGGGGCATTTTCACGCCGAAATGTAACGAGGCCAATGGGCAGAGGGCTACTTCGGCTCAGGGTTTAGGTCCAGGTGTCAGGCTAAGGGTAAGTTTTTGCTGCATGTGAGGGCTACGTCGCAGTGGGAAGCGTCGGTGAGAATTTCTTGAAAAATTGGAATTTTACTCCCGACGATCCGCCGGAGCCGTCGAATTGGCCAAACCTGATGTGCGTGAAGGAGGAGCACTTGGCCTCGAGCTAGTGCCAGAGTTTCTGAATTGTAGAGACATAAGAAATTCTAAGCCTTGAACTCTGACACCATTTAACATATCTTTCTGCTGAATTAGTCTTATGCAACCGGCCAGGTACACGGAGACGGTCTCTATGGACAAAGGGAGCTGGACTTGGGGTATCCGCAAAGGTTATTCCGCGTATTCGGGCATCGCCTGGGTCGGCAAGCCCTACAACACTGCCGACGGAGTACTTGTCAACGGGCCATGCCATGCAAAAGCCGGCTGGGATGCAAGCGCCCCAGTTCTTCCATCCGATGCAGGGTCCTAGAGCTACGGTTCTAGGGTTTACCTATAGTCTCCATTGCAGTTCGTTTCTTGGTTGAGCCAATAACGTATAAAGGATCCTAGAAGGTAACCCCAAAAAGGAACTACAATGAAGATTTTATATGTAGGTTTGAGCCGTACTTCCAGACGCTCAGGGTCCAGGTGACTGGGAGCCGTACCAGGTCCACCAACTGAAAGAGTCGCTCGTGAAGTGGCTGGGCTCTTGTTAAGGGATTGAATTCTGAGCTAACCATAATTCATAGGGACTCTTCGAGGGGTAGGGGGGAGGGGGGTAGGAGACTACACTGACTACACATTTTCAAAAAGACCTTACTAAGTCTACGGCTACTGAAGCCATATTATTTTCTATTGCTCAACAAGAACCCAGGTGGTGCACGATCAACCCCGCCAACTCGATCGCTCATTAGTAGCCTTGTGCGAAGACATGGTCCAAACATGTTTTTTTTTGTCGCCACCCGCGACGTGCATCAATGTGTGCAGAATTAGCCATCGGTGCTACGCCATGTTCTGGCACTTTTGTGGCCGACATCGTCGGGCGACACGTGCCCGGCAAGGAGCCGAAGCGGACGAGAGCCAGTTGGCCCTCCAATACATGACAATAGATCATGAAAACATCAATGCCAGCGTTCAGGAGTTGAATGTGTGTAGGAAGGAACCCTCTGCGATTTTTTTGCAGTGTTTCAACCTTCACGGATTAAGCAGCAGTCCGTTGTTTCGCATTGCTACACCACCGGGCCGAAAGTTTCGACATGCAGCTTATAACATAGATGTATGCCGCGGAGAGGCGGGGAGCCCCAAGACCCATTTTACGTTGCCAGCGTGGCGGAGTAATTACTTTCCGGGAATAAATTTATACTATTATATAGTTTCCGGCGGAGAGCTTTGCGGGGTTGTGCTAGGATTCTACGCGGGAAAAGGGGTGAACATGCAGTGATCTCTCAACTTCATGTTGTATGGCGAACTTTCGTCCTGCGGTAGCGGGCATTCCGGGTGTTGCAGTCCTGGTCTGCACGAGAAAAAGAGGAGCCAGGATGGACCAATTAGGATGTGTTTCGGAAATCAGCGGGCATTCCGGGTGTTGCAGTCCTGGTCTGCACGAGAAAAAGAGGAGCCAGGCTGGACTAAGTAGGCTTTAGCGGAAATCAGCGGGCATTCCGGGTGTTGCAGTCCTGGTCTGCACGAGAAAAAGAGGAGCTAGGCTGGACTAATTAGGTTTTAGCGGAAATCACCACCGGGCCGAAAGTTTCGACATGCAGCTTATAACATAGATGTATGCCGCGGAGAGGCGGAGAGCCCCAAGACCCATTTTACGTTGCCAGCGTGGCGGAGTAATTACTTTCCGGGAATAAATTTATACTATTATATAGTTTCCGGCGGAGAGCTTTGCGGGGTTGTGCTAGGATTCTACGCGGGAAAAGGGGTGAACATGCGGTGATCTCTCAACTTCATGTTGTATGGCGAACTTTCGTCCTGCGGTAGCGGGCATTCCGGGTGTTGCAGTCCTGGTCTGCGCGAGAAAAAGAGGAGCCAGGATGGACCAATTAGGATGTGTTTCGGAAATCAGCGGGCATTCCGGGTGTTGCAGTCCTGGTCTGCACGAGAAAAAGAGGAGCCAGGATGGACTAAGCAGGCTCTAGCGGAAATCAGCGGGCATTCCGGGTGTTGCAGTCCTGGTCTGCACGAGAAAAAGAGGAGCCAGGCTGGACTAATTAGGCTTTAGCGGAAATCACCACCGGGCCGAAAGTTTCGACATGCAGCTTATAACATAGATGTATGCCGCGGAGAGGCGGAGAGCCCCAAGACCCATTTTACGTTGCCAGCGTGGCGGAGTAATTACTTTCCGGGAATACATTTATACTATTATATAGTTTCCGGCGGAGAGCTTTGCGGGGTTGTGCTAGGATTCTACGCGGGAAAAGGGGTGAACATGCGGTGATCTCTCAACTTCATGTTGTATGGCGAACTTTCGTCCTGCGGTAGTAGTAGCATTCGCTGGCTTCCCCAAATTCGCTACTACTCGTATAAAGGAGCCCCAAATCCTATTCCAATTATAAAGGCCCCTTTTGCACATGTTAAAGGCCGGAAATGGCTGAAAACTGCTCGTCATCCGACCAAAGCTCATGGTGCTTCCACTTTTCCGGCCATGCCGGACATACTTGGAGGATCAGGGGACTTAGTAAGTAAGGTTATAAGTACCTTAATTGGGGTTAGAAGTTGCTTTAAGTATAGTTACCTTAATTATAACCCTAGTTGCTAATTCCCATGATCCTTTACGTAGCACCAGTAACAGCTTTGGCAATCATCCTCTTTCCTCGCCGCATGCATCGCCATTTTCTTCTTTTCATCATGTGAACATGACTGTGGTTATGATTATTGACATGCTGTTGTTGTCATTGTGATGACGACGACTGCTTTCATGATCATTATGATGGTTTTTCATCCGGAAGACGACCTGGCATTGCTAGCAGGGGTAATGGTAGCAGGCAGCGGCCAATGGCAAGGCATATTTGGAGATCAAGAACTAGATGGGTGGGTAGGCTAGGGCAAAAGCGTAGCAGCAGCACGCTAGCAGCCCAAGAACGATGACCACAGTTTTTGTGTTCATAAACAGTTCTTGTTCGCATGAACGGCCTCGGAAGCAACAACAGGGATAGTAGCAGCGGACAACAAGGCAGCAACAGCGCAGACGTATAATCTGAAAACTTGCGTCGTTGGCTCCAGGTCGATGCCATGAAGAACATGCTGACCCAGTACCCAACAGGGTTGGTCGCCTGCGTCCTCGCCCCGGCTGAGATGATCTAGACGGATTAGAAATGTTCCATGTCGGAGTTTCCGAAAATTAGGGGTACCTTGTTTGGGGTCCTTATAATATGGATCCTACTATTTAGGGTTCTATATTAGGGTCCCCTATTTTCGGAAACTCCCATATAGCTGTAAGCACACTCTGTCTCCCATGAAATTATGCCCAATCCCTACAATCCTCCCAGATTGGAAAGCAAGCTTTCACTGCCGGCCTAATAAATCCGAAATGCGCTTCGACCATGTTTAAAAGAGCCTAGTGTCCATGCGTGTATGTATTTAATACGCATTTGTATACAGACGAACCAACGTCGTATGCATAATTGCCATGCGGATCTGAAACCAGGTGTTAGTGGGTGGATGGTTGGTAGGGGGCGGGTGGGCAGAGTAGGTGCATAGGCTTGGGAAAATATCGTCGCTGGAAAGCCCTTATCTTTGAGCTAACAAGGCACGGGGGCTTCCTTAGCCTGGCAGATTCCCTCAGTATTTACTCGGATTTGAGGGATTCTTACCCCGTTAAGCTCCACCCAGATGAGCGCCAAACTACGGGGAGGGGATTTACTGCCGAAAAGACCACAACAGTGCTTTGCGGCTTCACACACTGGTCGTATCTTGTTGAACCCTAAACCCTAAACACAAAACCCTTAACCTAAACACTTTTGAAAGCACCGAAAGAAGCTTAGGCCTTGCGTAAGGAACATAGCGCAGACGTGTGCTCATGGACGAAATCCTGCATTATCCAAAATGAGGACTATGACTATTCTGTAAGTCCACTGGCTTGAGGGATTTTGAGGCTACGGCTACGGCAATGCCAGTTTTTGTTCATTAGCAGTACCAGAGCCCTTGACGAAGAACCCCAAAGCCCAGGTCAGCGACTCCTTCGACGTTTTCAAGGCTTGCAAGGACGGCGGGCGATTGGCCAGGGACGAGAAGAACAAATTCTCTCAGTATCTAGAATACTAGGTAGGGCGTTGGGACATTTTATATTTTCTCTTATTGGGCTTAAGAGGATCTTACCTACTAATATTTTTCAAAGGCTTTAAAAGCACCTCCTAGAATACCATGATCACCAACTCAGGCCCTAAACTCCTGAAGCCCGGGAACCCTGAAGCTCCAAAGCAGAAACCCCAAAACACCCCGAACATTGAACTGCATCCTAGCCGAAGGACCTCATCGTTTCGTCCTCGTCTCTGCAAGCTTCAGATATAGGGGTGGGAACATTTGATTTGGTAATGATATTCCCTTGTGCTTCTGCAGGTATACTACAATGTACCCCAAAACCATATCATGATAAAATTATGGCCCCTATACTAACTCATCGTCTCCATTGTATTTGACTAAGCCCGCTTTATTGCTTGGATCCTACCATAAGTGCCGATGCATGCTGGCCTACAGATAAACCAGGCCATCAAACGAGGAAGGACAACTTTTACGGATAGGATCCTATAAACAAGCAAGGTGGCGAAAAAAGAACTGCACCTGGACCCTCCCAGCTACCCTGTATTCCCTATAAAATACCCTTAATCTGGGACCATACTCTACCGTCTATTAGACCCTAACTACCCTTAACTTGGGACCCTGTACCGCTATTAACCCTACGCCCTAAAGCCGGGCAAAGGACTACTGGGGCGACAAGCTCAAGGACCTGATCAAGGGCCGATGCCTCAGCAGCCGAGATGCCAGGGTTTAGGGTTTAGGGTTAGGGGTTTAGGGTTTAGGGGTTTAGGGTTTAGGGTTACCCATAATGAAGAATGTACAAGTATTCCCATCGGTTAGGGTCCTTAAGGTAATGCAGGATTTATACCATCAACAGTGGTAGTAGACCTAGGGCCTCCCCCAACTACAGTTTAGCATACCCTGAATAGGTGATGGGGGCTCCATTAGAGGGCCAGGGTCCTGGGAGTAGTTTTATAACCTTTAACCTTTGTTGGTGCATTATAATCGATGTGGGGTATGTTTTATTTCCCTTATTGTGTAATACAGAGCCCCAATTGTAAATAATGTTTGGGACTGTTGAAATCGGCAATAGTCGGCACCTAGTAAAACCTCAACCCAGAACCCTTAACTCCAAGAACAACGAGCCCAAACCCGAAGACCCGAAACCATAAACTCACAAAAACATGTCCTGAGCCCGAAACTCCAAAAACAACCTAAACCCTAAAACCCGAAACCCCAAAGACTAAACGGGAATTGGTAAACCGTGGACGTATGGATCAGTCTTGCTTTCGCAGTTTAATGATGGGGTTCCAGGACATATTCCAGGACCCCCAAGGGCCCTTTAATGGAGCCCTTATGCTCCTTAATAGTAGGTTATTTAGGGTATATTTCATGGTAGTTGGGGGGTCTCGGTATAGCCTAAGTATATGAAGGCCCCTTTATTCGCCAAGTCTTTCGGAACAGGTGAGTTAGATATGAGGGGTTCCCGGCGGGTTTTGCACAGGCAGATGAGGGTCTGATCACATGAGCTTGGCAGCGGGATGCATGTTTTATTCGGCTAGAGTTAAAGCAAGTGGCAGAGCCTAGAAGATCTGGACTGGCCAAAACAATGTCAGCAGGACCGTGCCTAAAGCCTCAACTCCCAAAATTCTGCGCTTTGTTAACCCGAAGCCCCAAACCCCAGACTACGTAATATTTCAGGCCGGATTACCGGGGACAGCTTTGGTCGCCTGGTGGTGCGCCCGGACAGTGGCGACCCTGCGGACACTTGCAAGCAGATCCTCAAGATTCTGTGCGGGACTTAGTCCATCCAAGTGCTTGATGCTACCGAAGAGAGCAAGACAGCAACCTCAACAATTGCGACGACACGAATTACAATAGCAGAAGCAGCAGCGATGCAACCGGCACCATTAACTACTACAGCAACAACAACGGCAACAACAAAAAAACAGCGACAGCAACAACAACAAAGAAACGAACAAAGCATCAGCAACCGCAACATCTGGTGTCGAAGGGCTTTCGAAATTCACAAGTGTTCACAAGCCTGTTTCAGATCCGGAGCCACAACCATAGTAACTGTAGTAATATGTAGTAGTAGTCGTCGTCGTGGTCGCGGTCGTGGTCGTGGTCGTGGTCGTGGTCGTAGTAGTAGTAGTAGTAGTAGTAGTAGTAGTAGTAGTAGTAGTAGGAGGAGGAGGAGGAGGAGTAATCGTAATCGCAATACCATTAAATCGTTATCGAAATACTATTACGAATACCACTACTAGTATTAGCAACAGTAGCAAAACAAGAAAAAGGTAAGTTCCGAACCGCGACATCCCGACCCAGTTGCGCTCAGTACTTCTCAGAGTCTCAGTTGTCAACGCCCACAATCCTAAAGGGTCCATATCTATAAACTATATATATATATATATATACATATATATATATATATATATGTAAACCTGTACTTATATACTTCTATGAAAAATTTACTACAATGATTGAATCAGGTCTCCAATACCACAATAAGGATGGTCCTCTAATTAATTCCGAAATGCGCGAGTACGTGGACCCCTACGGGACTTCCATAAGCAGAGCCCCCAGAAACCCTAAGCCCCAAGCTTGGGGGACCCCGACTTCCGACGACATCCCCAGGTGCGAGCAGTTCAAAGAAGATGCGGCTCGGACTCAGAGTGAAGCTGCTGCCGCCCTAAAACCTAGCCATACTGTACCTAGCCGGACGCGAGGGCTCATTATTATTGTTTCGGGTTAAGGTTAACCTTAAACCCTCGCTTCGATCCTGAGGTGACCACCACGAAGACAGGTCACAAACTGCTGCCCGCGTACATCCGCGTGATTCAGGGTGATGGCAGGGGTCTCGGAACTTTTGTCGCCATGACCAAGTAAAGCCGGTTCAGCCTCCGAAGGTCAGGAACTATGCAGTTTTGGGCCACTAACTCGAGTAATTTGCTTATGGGCTTCAGTTGGTCCGGGGAGTGCGAAGTCTCGCCTAGGCGTCGACTACGAGTCAATTCCGAAGATCCTGCTTGGCGCACAGCTCTCGCTTTGCTTTCTGTGGCATCCTTCATGGGTATGGTTGTTGCACGGAGCAGACCCTGTTTTGACAAGAGAGATGGATATCAAATCCTGGCGCCGAGGAAGTCGCTGAAGAATGCTGGCTTTGTCCCTTGCTCGGCATCATCTGCAGAATCGAAATGCTGGGCGAACAGGGACCTGCAAAGATGCTATATAAACCTCGAGGTAAAATCCGGCAACAGGCTGATCTGCATGTTTCGGTGCTGCAACACTGTCACCGACATTTCAGGCTGCAGACAACATGGTCTTCGGAAGTGGTGGCGCGCTGCTGCAGAAGTTGAACCGAGACACCTTCAAATGCTCCCTGCCTGTTCTGCAGCATCTTCTCTACCAATCGCTCAATCAATCGATCAATCAATCAATCTGTTTGTCTGTCTGTCTATCTATCTGTCTGCCTGTCTATCTGTCTGGGTCAATATCCATCTGCCCTGTCTATCTGTGTAGCTGTCTACCCATCCATCATCCATCCATGTACATACCGTATCTGTCCACACATGCGTACATACCTACCTACCTACCTACCTACCTACCTACCTACCTACCTACACGCATACTTGAGCACAGATGTACTACATAGTACATCTGCACTCACAAAATTTTGTACATATGCATGTATGCAAGTATGCATGTTTGTGTGTTTGTGTGAAAATAACACCTCCCTTTCTCCCCCAGACTTTGCCAACCGTCGTTGGCTCAAGACCACTTTGCCCTACGAGAAAAGGCGCTGCTGAACTTCAGGGTTACTTTGGTCTAAGTCGTGTGAGCTTGTGCACGGAATTACTTTAGGGTAGTTTGGTGCGCATTCTGGACTAGTGTACTTTCGCATGGTAGCGGAGCTGAAAGCTCCACGGAACTTTGGTAGAACAACATGGCGCTAGGAGGTGAAGACAACTTTACAGGGAAGCTTCGGCTTCCTCTGCCAGAGACTTTCTCTGGGAACCCAGCAGACTGGGAAGAATGGTCATGGAACTTTAAAGCGTACATTTCGATGTTCGAGGTAGGTGCTGTGACTTTGATGGACAATGCCGAAATGCGAACGGCAGCGCAAGGTGACTTTACAGATGCTGATCTAACAGTCACTTTAGGCACAGGTGATGTTGATCCGGAACAGACCGCCAACCGAGTACTTTTCTCCCGAAAACTACATTACCTGATTTCTCAACTTGTGAAAGATTCGGCAAAACTTGTTGTTCGTCAGAACGAGGACAGCAACGGCTTTGAGACATGGAGGAGACTTTACAAGAAGTTCTCGCTGCCAGGAGCCACGCGGAGTACGTCACTTTTGACGCAGCTGTTGGACTTTAAGTTCAACCCAGCAACCTTTGAGCAGGACTTTAATGTTTGGGAGACAATCAAGAGTAGATATGAACGACAAGTAGGACAACCTTTGCCTGATGGTGTTCTTGTTGCAACTTTGCTGAACAAAACCTCTGGAGCTTTACAACAACACCTTAGGTTGAATGCCCAAACTTTGGCAACTTATGCTCAAGTTCGAGAAGTTATCCTTGAGTACCATAGGTCACGACTTTTGATGAATCCAGTTGCACAAACTTCGGCGAATGCAACTTTTGCTGGTGGAGCCTCGGCTCCCATGGACATTGGTGCCTTAGCGGCAGCTTTGTGGAAAGGAAAAGGAAGGAAAGGAAAAGGAAAGAAAGGAAAAGGAAAAGGAAAAGGAAAAGGAAAAGGAAAAGGAAAGGACTTTTCGAAGTCGTTTGGAAAAGGAGGACAACATTGGAACTTTATGATGAAAGGAAAAGGAAGAGGAAAAGGAAAAGGAAAGCCCACTTCTGGTTCTACTTCGGTTTGCTGGACGTGTGGTAAAACAGGTCACTTTTCGAGCAACTGTCCTTTGAACCGTGTTTCAGCTGTTGAAGGTGAAGAACTTTACCCGTCGGAGGACGCAGGAGATTGGAATCACTTTGGTGAGTCCGATGATTGGACAGATTGGACCGAATGGGCCGTGAACGCGGTCACGGAACTTTACAACGACCCTAACAGTTGGGATCAGACTTGGGATGATCAACTTTGGTCTTGGGATGCTTGGTCCTGGGATGTTGACCCTTGGGGTTGGTCTTCGGACTTTACTTCAGAAGTTTGGCCTTCAGAGGCTGCTCCTTCGGCGAAGGCCGAAACTTTGGCGAAGCCCAAGGAAGAGGCTTCCTCGTCAAGCGGTGCGGCAACTTTGCCCGTGTCGGCTGTGACTTTGCAAGGACCACCTGGACTTTCAACCCCCAAAGCCAAGCCTAAAGCTAAAGCAAGCATCAGCCCGAGCACTTTGCTCATGTCGGCTGTTGTTCTCGGCAATTTTGGTTTGGGGAACACTTTCAGAGTTGATGGGATGACGAATGGAGTTGTAGACTTCAGCTTTGGTGGTTTCGGAGAGTGTGAGAACTTTGAGCCTACGGCCTGTATGGCACCGCTTGAGACTTTCTCCTTGAATGGTCGCACGGAGGAGAACCAACGACTTTTCAGTGTTGGGGATCTTGATCTTAAGAATTTGAATACGACTTTCAAGGATATTGCTTTGGAGGAGCATTTGATTGCTTCGACTTTGGAGGACACCGAGCCGTGGATCCTCTTTGATTCAGGTGCTGCAACTCACTGTTGCCCGAAGGACTTTGCCTCGGAGTGGCCACTTTTGCCACTCACAGGGAAAGCTCCACCTTTGAGGAGCATTTCGGGTCAGCCTTTGACGGTCTTTGGAAGGAGACTTGTGAAGGTTGACTTTGAGGGCCAGCCCTGTTTCCTACACTTCTACGTTTGCGACGTTCCCTACTGTGTGGTGTCAGTTGGCAGACTTTTGAGGTCAGGCTTTGACGTGAACCTTTCTTCTAAGAAGGCGAACACTTTGGAAACACCTGATGGACACAAGGTGCCCATCACTAGGCATGGTTCACTTCTTTTCTTGAGGCCCACTTTGGCACCTTTCAACCGAGAAGAGTTTGAGGTTGTGTGTAACACTTTTCACACACAGAGCGCACAAGGTACCATAGTGGCCCCCGTCTTTAGACCTGTCGTTCAGTATCACATTGATAAATGGGAGCTCTCGGGTAACACTTTGACCCGCGTACACAAAAGAGCGAGAGCTACTTTCTTTTCTCCCGAAGGGACGAAAGATCGCCCTGTAGACCTGAAGGACCTTTCGGACGAACGCGTAACCTACTTTGAGTACGCAGATGGCAGAAAAGAGACTTTCACCGACAACTGGCGTAAAGCGGAGAACCCTAAAGGGCCTGCTCCTGAACGCTTTGTTGGCAAGACTGTTTTTAAACTTTCCTCCAAGCCCACTGGCCGCAAGCTGGTTGGAAAACAGACAACTTTACCTGAACCCACACCTGCACGCAAACCACAACCACTTGAACAGCAGCAGGAACCTTTAGCAGAGGCCCCACAACCACTTTTCAAGCAACCCACTAAAGGCCTCAAGGAGCAAAGCACCGAGGACACTTTCCGTCTGCGCCTTGAGCAGACTTCTTCAGGAACGCTGGAAGACTTTCGGAAGGCTTTGCTTGAACAACTTTTGGAGAAGGACCCGGCAACAGGCCAGCCGTACACGCACGACTTGTGGCTTGACTTTCCGTCTTGCTGGGTGCGTGTCCACTACGAACAGCGGACCACACTTTTTGTGCCTGAGGATCCGCACTTTGAAGAGCAGCTTGGCGACGGTCGCATGACTTTGGTTGTGAGGCCCAACACGGAGGAAGTGCCCTTTTGGCATGCTGACAATTGGCGCAAGCGCGGCGCCACTTTGATCAGCTCTCCGTTTGTCGGCGCCACTTGTTTTGAGAAGGCAGACTTGCAACTTGTTGAGTGCGAGCTAGAAGCTCCTGACTATGTTGCGCGTCGCCCCCGCGGGCTTAAACAGCCTGGCGAGCCAACTTTGACGGAGCGGCTTGAACACGAGTTGACACACTTGCCGTTTAAGCCCTGGTGTGAAATTTGTGTGCGTTCCAAGAGCAAACAGGCTAAGAGTCGCAGACTTTCCCTGAAGCAGCCTGTGCTGCAGATGGACTTTAGCTTTCTTGGCGACAAGCCTGGTGAGGAACAGATCACGATTTTGAATTGTCGATGTTCTTTCCGGCATGGCACTTTCTGTTGATCCCCACCAAGGCCCGCACACCTTATTCACAGGCTGAACTTCGTCGCTTTGTGCTTGAAACGGGCAGAACTTTCGGTGTGTTGCAAGCGGACCCCGAACCCGCCCTCCTCGCTATTGCAACTTCTGTCACTGGTGAGGTTGGTGGACTTTCCTTTCGGAAGACGCCCGTCGGTTGGAAACAAGCGCAAGGCAGCGTCGGTAACATGCAGGCCACTTTGTACGGCCAGATCAAAGCTTTGCGCCTTGACATCCTTGAGCGCTTTGACGTGGACCTTTCGGTGCACTCGGCTTTGTTTACTTGGCTTGTGCGTCACGCGCAGTGGCTTGTGAACCGTTACCTTTGCAACGCGGAAGGAACGACGGCTTTTGAGCGGCGCTGGCGTAAGAAGTATGCCGGCTTTATCTGTCGCTTTGGAGAGACAGTACTTTTCCGCAAGCCGCATCCGCAGAAGGGCCGTGCAGCTTTTGTGCCTGGTGTTTGGCTTGGCAAGGACACTGAGTCTGATCAGCACTTTGTTGCTGACGCCACCGGCGTCTTTAAGACCCGCAGTGTCAAGCGCCACCCGCCCTCCCGGCAAGCCGACCTTGCACTTTTGCAGTCGATCTCTGCGCGTCCTTGGGACCCCACCGGTTCGAAGGCTGAGACGGACACTTTTGTCTTTCCTCAAGCCAAGCGGTCCGAGGAGGCGACAGCAGCTGACCTTTCGAACTTTGAGCAACACGAGTCGACTGAGCCACTTGCACCAGAAGCTTTGCAAGAAGTTGAAGACTTGCTTGGTGACGACTTTGGCGGTGATGAGCCAGAGGCGGTACCGCCAAGAGACGACTTGTCGGACTTGGAGTCTTTGGCTACGCCTCCTGACCTTGACACCTTTGAGCCACCGCACGTCACTTTGGACCAGCAAGCACAGGGCCTACCACGGTCCGCAACGGAAGCAGCTTTGCCGCAACCTGCGGCTACACGGCCTCGACTTGAGGAGGCGTCTGCTTCTTCTCCGACAAAGCGTACGTCGGAGACTTTGCCTGTTGGGACAAGCAAGGTGCAGAGAATGGCCAGCGTAACTTTTGCGAAGACCAAGAAGCGCTTTCGCGTGTGTGACTTTCGTGTCTCTGCTGTGACAACAAAGCAAGACCTTGAAGTACCGGTGTCGGTTAATCAAGATGAGAAAGAACTTTTGTTGATGAAGACACTTGAGAATCCGCACATTTGGTACCAGACCGAGTTCACACGTGAAGAGGAAGCTGCAGGCATGACAAAAGAGATGAAGTCGATGCGTGACTTTGACGTGTTCGACGAAGTCTCAGTTGAGTCGGTCTCGGAGGAGACTTTGCGGTCTGCAATTTCCACGAAGTGGGTTAAAGTGCGCAAGCCTGACGGGACAGTGCGCTGTAGGATTGTTGGGCGAGGTTACACTCAACTTGTGGAAGACAAGGATGAGACTTTCGCCTCGACCCCGTCCTTAACCACACTTCGGCTGTTGTTGACTTTGGCTGTTGCGAAGGGATGGCACATCTCGATCGGAGACATTTCGACGGCATTTCTTCATGCCCTGGTCGATGGTGACTTTTATGTCATTCCTCCCCTGGAATTCTATCCAGAGGGCCGCACTTTGTGGAAGCTCAAGAAAGCCCTTTACGGACTTAAGCACAGCCCTAAGCTTTGGCAGCAGCACTTTGCATCTGTCATGGAGAAGAACGGCTTTCGACGCATGAAGTCGGACCCGAACCTTTATGTACATGACAGCAAGCAACTTTACGTTCTGGCGTATGTGGATGACTTGATGTTTTTCGGTTCGCGGGCTGATGTTTCGACTTTGATCCGGGATCTTCAGAAGGACTTGTTGCTTAAGGTGACAGGTACTTTGGATGAAGGTCAGAGTTCGTCGTTTCTAGGCCGCAACCTGAAGCGCACCTCCACTTTCATCTCTGTAGGAATGAGCCCATCCTACATTGATACGATGCTAGAGCTTTACGGTTTGAAACAGTGCCGGCAGGCACTTGCTCCAGGAACGGATGCTTTGAGGAAGCAGCTCGACTGTGAACCTTTGGACCCTGAGGATCACAAGCGCTACCGGCGCGCTGTGGGCCAACTTTTGTGGCTTTCCAGCGTGCGCCCTGACATCATGTATGCTGTCAAGGAGTTGAGCCGAGGACTTTCTGCACCGACCACAGAACGCGAAGCAAAGGTCAAGCATCTTTTGAAGTACCTGGCAGGAACAAAGCACTTTGAGCAGAAACTGCAACCAACCCTCTCACTTTCACCGCAGCACAAAGCAATAGACATCAACATTTTTGTTGACAGCGATTGGGCAGGATGCCACGACACCCGACGCTCCACTTCAGGAGTTTCCCTCTTTGTGCTCGGGGCGAATATACTTTCGCACAGCAGGACCCAGGCCACTGTGGCCCTCTCGAGTGGAGAGGCAGAACTTTACGCTATAGGCTCTGGTACTGCTGACGCTCTTTTTGTGAGGTCTTTGGTGGAAGAGAGCAAGATCTTTCAGAAGGCTAACCTTTGTGTTTTTACAGACAGCAACGTTGGCAAAAGTATTGCCTCACGTTTCGGCGCCAGCCGCAAGACGAAGCACGTAGAGTTACGATATCTTTATGTGCAAGAACTTGTTGCTTCTGGTATGGTTAGGATTAAGAAAGTTCTTGGTACTTTGAACCCAGCAGATATCCTTACGAAGTATATCGCGAAGGAGACTTTGCACCGCCATCTTCCTACTTTCGGGTTTGAGGTTTAGCCACCCCATCTCGGGTTGGACTTTGCCACTCATCATCTTCCCCAGAAGAACCCAGATGAGAGAGAAGAAGACTTTGAGAGCTGAGAGAATCACGTTCTTGCGGACATGTACTTTTCATGCTTGTGCGGACATGTACTTTTGCGGACATGTACTTTTGCTTGCTTGTGCAGTCTCGACATGTCTTCGACTTTCGCTCGATTTAGGAACTTTCAGTTTTCCGGAACCAACTTTGAAGGTGACCTTTCTGTTTTCCGTTTTCTCCGTTCCGAAAAGGAAGAAACTTTTACCGTGAAACCTTGATGGTGGATGACTTTTCCGATGATGGTTTTAAGGTGCAACGGCACCACTTTTAATGTACATATGTAAGCTCACTTGACTTTCCCGTTCAGGGTGTTCGGGTTTTGTCGTGGGTTTTGGTTTTAACTTTGCGCCTTTTCGTCGCCACTTTCGTTCTGCGTTGCCCGTTTCACTTCGACTTTGCCTAACGGATGGAGCCGGCATGGATGCCACAGAGGTGGTGACTTTGCTGAGATCTTGCCGTGTGACGGTACTTTCGGTGGCACGCTGGTACAGGAACCGAACTTTGTGGTTCCGCCTTTGGGAATTCCTGAGGCCTTTTTGTGACCCGACTTTGGTCACTTCGGGCCTCACTGGAGGACCTTTTGGAAACGGTCAACTTTGACCGCCGGCTGCTCGCTGACATTGCCCGTGCGAGGCAAACAACTTTTCTGGAACAAGGTGATCTGGAAACTCTGGCTGAGTCGGAGACTTTTCTCCGAAGGGAAATCGCGGACCAGCACTTTTGGATCAGGTTACTTTATCGGTTATCTGTTCCTCTGCAACCTTTTAGGTCTGAGCTGCCCTTCTGGACGAACTTACAGTTCACTGCGTTTTTCAGTACTTTTCTTTTGTCCTTGTCTGGAGTTGTGGAGCAACCCTGGCTTGGAGGAGCAAGGCACTTTCTGCAATTGCTCTTTGACGCGTACGCAGCTTACGCACTTTTCTATTTGAGGCGCTTTATCAATCAAGAAGTGCCGGACCTGCACATTTGGCCGGTGCTGCTGTGGAACTTTCTGCAGCGATGGCGCCAAAGACTTTGAGGCCGCCTGCCACTTTGCCGCCATCGATTGAGCGGCCACGGCCTGGCCATGGTTTTGGTCAGGGGACTTTTGTCCCTGACTTTTCGAACTTTGGCTTTTGGGGCACTTTGCAGCTTATGCTTGAGATGCTTTTTGGTGGCCGCCAGATGGAGCAGTTGTTTCGCCCTGGGACAACTTTTGACAACAACTTTGTCCTGGGAAAGTCGATACTTTTCCCTGGGTTGAGCCCGGTGTCGCCAAGCATGACGGCACCCGAACTTTACATGTTGATGCGCAGCCAACTTTTCTGGGTATTCCATGTGAGTCCGGGGAGCACTTTGCCAGGCGATCCTTCGGCATGGTCGCCCTTCATGTTATATCTTACTTTGCCAATGAGCGTTTTGGATAGAGCCTTGACCGCTGCCCGCCAGAGTGGAACTTTTACAGTTCACTTTCAGGATGTGGTGGGTACTTTGGAGAATTGCCTGAACATTTCCTTTAGCCCACGGTCGGCTTATCTTTTCTACACTTTCCAGCTGTCGATTTCTCAGATGCAGGGAGTGACTTTTCCTTTTGCTGCCAATGAAGAAATCGCTACGTTTGGCTTCCGACCAACTCAACATTGGTTGGCAGTCAACTTTGGAAGTGGACAGGCGAGGATTTGGAACAGGAGGTACGTGGACTTTCTGGTGAAAGTCGCGACTTTGCAGATTCCAATGCAGCCTACTTTTCTGACTTTTTGCGTGGTGAGACACTTTGGCCAGGCACCGTACACTTTGGTCGGCGATCTCAATCGCTACTTTGATGGTACATATGGTGTGCAGTGTCGTCACTTTCGACTGATGCACCTGCCGATCCTCCCAGAGGTGTACCAACTTTGTGAGGATATGCCCGAGGGCTGGGTGCCCCTCGCTGGCGCTACGCCGTCAACTTTGACGCGCCCTGCGAGGTTGTGAAGGCCACTTTTCGCCTTTCGAGGTTGGGCCAACAGCACACTTTTCGGCGTCTTTTGACGCTTGGTGCCACTTTGGTTGCTGCACTTAGATGGGCCAACCACTTTTGGGCCACGCTGCACTTTGATGTGCCGTGCGCAGTCACGACACTTTGCACCACGAGCACTACGAACGCTTACTTTTACAAGTCAACTTTTGAGGTTGTAGATAGGAGACCTCGTTGCAACTTTCTCCGAGCAGCTGCTTTGCAAAACTTTGGCCGTGAGCTCACACATGTACATGTACACTTTTATGTGTTATTGTACTTTGCGAGAATAAAGTAGTTAACTTTAATCTCGAGGAGGCGTGTGAAAATAACACCTCCCTTTCTCCCCCAGACTTTGCCAACCGTCGTTGGCTCAAGACCACTTTGCCCTACGAGAAAAGGCGCCGCTGAACTTCAGGGTTACTTTGGTCTAAGTCGTGTGAGCTTGTGCACGGAATTACTTTAGGGTAGTTTGGTGCGCATTCTGGACTAGTGTACTTTCGCAGTTTGCGTGTGTGCGTGCATGTGTGTGTATGTATGTATGTATGTATGTATGTATTTATGTATTTATGTATGTATTTGTGTGATGTGTCATTGCTTGTTGTTTTTTGTTTTGTTTTGGTGTTTTCGTGTGTGTGTGTGTGTGCATGTACGTACGTACGTACGTAGGTAGGTAGGTAGGTAGGTATGTATGTATGTATGTATGTACGCATTTGTGTGATGTGTCATTGCTTGTTGTTTTTTTTGTTTTGTTTTGGTGTTTTCGTGTGTGTGTGTGCATGTACGTTAATAGGGGTATACACACAGCCGGCGCTACTCACATTATGTTGCATTGAGCTGCATTGCATGCAGTTCGCGATTGCTTGCGCTGTCTCATTGCTGCCCTGTGGTTGGGTCAGTTTAGTCGAAACCATGACAAGGTACAAGTCATAATGGGAAAAACTGCAGCAATCTGTGACCCAATAGGTAGCAGCGTTAGCACCGCTGGAGTGGCGATTCTTCTGCAGCCACATTTACCGGAGTAGGGCGGTAGTCTTAGTGGCTTTGCCACTGTGACCTTGAATAATATATTCAATTTTCAGCATCTCGGGTGCGTCTCAGACCTGCATTTGCTCCCACCACTTACAGCCCCAGGCGCATTCAAGTGCTCCGAGATCACGGTCAGCGGCGAGAAGAGGGAGGTGTTCAAGGACAGTGCTTGTAGTCCGTACTTTCGGGTTGAAGGTGGTTTGGCGGCTGTGAGATTGTGACGGAAGAGAATGAAATTCCAGGTATTGACTCGAGGCAGCCTGCGCAGCTCGGATCCGCATTCTTCGGTGGAGTCAAGCAGAAAGTGTGACCTCTTTAATGCAAAAACGCCTTTCTGCAACGTAAATGAAGACTCCCCATACCAGCTTCATCAGCAGGCACGTAATTCTGAGACTGAGCAGCCATGTTGCGCTAGGTCCGAAGCTACACTAACATTAATAGTAATCATCATCATCAACATAACAACACGAATACCAACAAAAACACTGAGGAGCAACTCCAAATCCCAAGGCCCAAAATCCTGGACTCGGAGCCTTAGTCTTTGACTCGCCTTGGTCTTCGACTCTCAAAAGCCATCCTAAGCCCTCAGTCTTACAAACCCCAAGGCTAGGCTCGCCAGGTCCGACATGCACCAACAGACCCCAAGGGCCAAGCAACCCAACGAAAGCTGTAGTATCGGGGCCTTAACAATTCGAACAGGGATTGGGGGGTAACTTATTATCATGATGGTACGATATCCCCAAAGCCTCTTCTTATGATTATTGAAGCCCCTACAGTAAGCCCTAAAGGCCAATGGCTTGGCGACACGTATGAGCCCAATACCCCAGACAATCCGACGCAGGCCCTGCATGATTCCTCAGACCCGAGATCCTAAACCACCGCAATCGTAAGCACCAAGCTCACCGGCCTTTCGGCTGCGAAACACCCAAACCCTAAACCCCATCATTCGTGCAGCGTCAGTATACCCAAAGCTCAGAAGACTGTCTAAGGCCCTACAGACCCTAAACCCTGAAAGCCCAAAGCCGAAATCCGTAAATCCAAACCCCTAAACTCCAAACCCTGATTAAGCCCCAAAGCTTGACTCGTACTAGCCCGTAAGCCCCAAAACCCGAGACCCTGAACCCAAAACCCTGAAGGTCCTACAACGTAAACCTTGAACCGGAAGCATCCTAAACTCCTGAAGCCCTAACCCGCAAACTCCCTAAACTCACTAATCCCTAAACCCTAAACCCCCTTTTTTCAAAAGGCCAAACAGACTTAAAACCCGAGACTACCCATTTACAAGACTACGCGAGGATCCGATCACCGACAAGGGCAAGGCCTCGAAGAAGGGCCGACTCACCGTTCAGCAACTCGGGCTCGGGATTTTAGAGGTTTTAAAGGGGGTTATAGGAGGGTTCCTTTAAAGGGCTCCTTAAGGGTACTAAGGGTAGTTCAGGGATTTAGGGGTTTGGGGTTGAGGGGTTTAGGGTTTAGGGGTCTGAAGGGGGGTTATGCGGGTTCCTTTAAAGGGCTCTATAAGGGTACTATCAGGGTAGTATAGGGGTGTAGGTTCCGGGTTTAGGGTTTATGGAGTTGAATGTCTAGAGTTTAGGGTTTCTAGTCTCAGGATTAGGGCTTACGGTTCATGGAGTTTAAGGTTGGAGATTCCTGCCAGTGTCGGGACCGGTCGGCACCAGCGCAAACAAGAATGGGCTTCTACGGGTTTTGCGACACTTTGCAGCATAATCCTGAGCCCCATAATACCCGTAGTCCTTATAGACCCCTTTAAGAGGAACCCTTAAAGGATCCCAATCATTCAGGTCCCTGTATTAGAGCCCCAGAGCTTGCTGCAGCTCCCACTGGTAGCAATCCCTGCATCTCCACATGGGGGTTTCCGAGATTTAGGGGTACCTCATTTCGGTGTCCTTACAATAAGGATCCTGCTGTTTAGGGTTAGGGTCCCCTATTTTCGGAGACTCCCAGATCTCCACCTAGATGAACGCAGAACGTGCAGATCCCGCTCGGCTTTTGGCACACATCCATCTGCCCCTAGTTGGTCCAGGGTTTAAGGTTAAGGGGAAGCGTACATGTTACATGCTCGTCTGGCTACAGCACTGTATGTCTACCGGTATCCGAAGCTTGACTCAACCTTCCGGACTCAACGTGACCGTCGCAGCGCGAACTTGTAATAGACTCCGTCAAGGCAGTGTCAGTGGTATCATCATGGTCATGACAATCATCCTCAGGTTCATTTTCACCACCATACTTTTCCCCGCTCCAAGTAGCATCATCACCGTCAACTTACCTTTGGTGAGTGGGGAATGGAAGAATGGTAGTACTAGTAGTTATAATTGCACCCCATTCCTCCATTCCGTACTAGGCAAAGCTAAGTCAAAAGGGCGAGCATGGCAGTCCCAGTGTTGAAAGCTGGTGCCTAAAGTTCAGCGCCGCCGCCCTCGATGTCCTCCACACCGTAAACCCCCTTAAAGCCTAAACTAAAAGCCTACTATAGGGGCCTCAATAATTACCTACACTATTTTTTTTTTGGGGGGGGGTCCTTCTTTTTTTATATGCACCAAAGCCCTATTCTAATAATCATAAGGCCCCTATCTTAGAATCTCAGGCTGGCCTCCGAGACTACAGGCTTCAAGGACGCCGACAAGTACAAGCCACGCAGCTCGCCTGAAAGCCGGGACCCTAAGGGTCCATGTACCCATATAGAGATACATGAGCCCCAAAGTACCTATATAGGGACTACATTAAGGCCAATGTATATACTATATGAGTACATGGACCCTTAGGGAGAGCGTTCTCCGGGGCACGAGTAGGAGAGCGAGGCAACACTCACAAAGCTCCTAGCAGTCCGAGAGTCTAACAACAGTTCATAGTCATGAGCATGGTCACATCCAACCGGTACACCGTAGGATACAGTAAGCAGTTCTGCTCGTCAGACTCGTCGTGCAAGTTTGCCTCTTTAAAGCAAACAGGCTGCAGTCATATGGGTGGTTGTCAAAATTACGGTCCGTTTGGGGGGTGCCATAAATATCAGGTGCCGTATTATAGTAAGGACCCAACAAGGGACCATAATTGTGACGACCACCCATATGGCAGAACAGTGGAAGTGTGACTCCGCCAGAAAGGAGAAGAACAGACACATTGCAACCCAGACATGTCACCACCGCGGGCAGGTTGACAATGATGGCATTGGGGTAGAGGTCTCTTGAAAGTAGTGGTAGTTTCAGAAAATACGGGACCCTGCTATGGCACAGAGAGAGACCTCAAATTTCTCAAAAAGGGGAAGAGTCCGAAAACTTATCGTGTGTCGGCCCGCAAGAGATACTGCGAGATTTCTTTAAGCCTCCAATTTCCTACGAAGCCTTGATGAGATTAAGCCGCAATGGTCTCGATCTCAAAATCTCGAAGGTTTAGGGCTTTAGGGTTATCAGTGTTATAGGGTGCTGGATGTAGGGGTGTAGGGTTTGGGGTCTGCTTCGAAAGCTGAAACCATGCACCCCAAGCTCTTATCCGCAATGACTCAAGCCTCGTGATTTAGGAGTCTGAATAATTAGTACTAGTATGGTTCCGGGTGTCTGGTTAAATTAGTTTTCGTTAGGAAGCGGACCATACTGTGATGTAGCCAGGGGCCTATTCGAATGATCAGTGCCCCTATATGAACCCTTGTGGTGCCCTTATAGTAGCCCTTATCGAATCCGTGTAAATGAGAATCAGTTGGAGAGACTTGAAACCCTAAACCCTACACCCTAAAACCTAAACCCTAAACCCTAAACCTTGCATCCTAACGCTCTTTGCCCAGCACAGGCCAGGGAGACAAGGGAGTGGCAGGCGGCACCGGCTTCCTTCACTACAGCACGGACGGAAAGATCGTGGCGGGCTTAATGCTATTCCCTTATAGTCCGTATATACTATTATGATAGTTTACTCCAGAATCATAGTGTTATCATTAAGGTCCGCGTTTTAATTACCTAAGCTGTAGACGCCAGACCCTGAAAACTCTGTCTCGTCGAGGAGCCATGGAGATCTTTCGTCTTTTGATGAGGCTAGGGCATATACGGCTTGGGGATTAGCGTTTCAGATGCGGACATGCGGTCCTGGCATGGTTTTGCTTGCGGTTCTTCCTGCTACGCGCCTGCTGATTGTCCTGCTGTCGTTTGAGGTCACTGTAGCCAGCGGCATGGGAGATGCTTCGAAGGACTTGATGGTGGAGGCGCCGCTGTTGCGTTTTGAAAATCGCCTTCTTCACAACACCGCCCATGCTCTCATAACGGACTTTACTTGCTGTGTCCATGGTATTGCCATCAACTGTTCGGGCTCACTGTGCTCAGGTTTTCCGCGATGGCCGCTTGCTGAAGGCAGGCATGGTTGAGCTGCATATCCAAAGTTGGAGGTACTGCAAGTGCATACTTGCAACGAGGACGGTAAATCGCTGTAAGCACATCGCAGTCGCAGTAAGTGTTCGTGCAAGTGTACATGTGTTTAAAGATGTACGTAACTGAACAAGTCAAGCAAATGAAGCAATGGATGGATATATATATATATATATATATATATATATATATATATATATATACATATACATATACATATACATATATATACATATATATATATATATATATATGTAGGTGTATGTGTACATATGTATATATATATATATATATATATACACACACACACTAGACTTCAATGCCTCCAAGTGGCCTACACGTGGGACAAGGAGCAAGCAAACTATCGTCTTGATCCTCAACGTCGACCTTCACTCAGCTCACGGTCGCGATGATAGTCACATCCCGCAGCTGTAGTTAAGAATCGCCGAGTTGGGAATGCCTGATCAAGCCATTGATGAAGATGACAGTGAAGAGTGTTGCTTCGATGGCTGTTTTGAGAGCTACAGTCTTGAGTGGTCTACTGATGGTGATTCTGTTGATCACGGAGCGCGCAGTCATGGTGATCTGAACGACGCTTGCCGTGATGTCGACGATCTGAGCGACGACTCTGCTTCTGTTGATGATGGTAATGATGATGGTGGTGGTGGTGATAGCGTTAGCAGTGGTACCGTTCACATTGTTGATTGTTGGGCCACTGTTGAACTTTATGCTGCTGCTGATGGTGGTGGTGGTGGTGGCGGTGGTGGTGGTGGTGGTGGTGCTGCTGCTGCTGCTTGTAACACGACTCAGGAATTGGAAGCGATCCCGGAGAAACAAGCGATAGCATCGCTGATCCTATGATAGTAACAAGATTCAGCATTAGGTACGGCCCCCACTCAGTTGTTATAGTTGAATAATATTCATAATATAGAGATATTAGGACCTCACTAGTAGCCCTATTATAGACTCTTACTGTAGGGGGGCCGTACCCAAATTCAGCATCTCATGCGCAAGTCGCCTTAACACAACAGGACGCGAACAGTATTGAACATTGCGAGTATCCCTTTCAGAAAGTCGCCAATCCTATCTGTGACGGTAGCAGATAACTAGTAATGGATAGTAGCGATCGTCTTCCAATAAAAGTGACAATAACAATAATGGTGTGCTCCGAACGTCTTTCGCATGTAAGGATCGCAACCGTATGTCAGCACCACGGCAGGACTACTCCCTGGAAGAGATCCGCAAGCGCGCTCCGGCAATCGACGAGAACTCACTAGATTCCTTGGGCATAGTTCCGTGCATTTGGTATTGCAGAGAACACACAGAGATTCGGAATGCTCACGAGTGGGAAGAGTGGATCCCCTCCCCCGCTTGCCTCCGCCCCTTCACAAAGCTTCCTTCGAGTCATGGCGGATCTTGTTGGGATCTGTGCTTCTTAGTTCCTGCGACCTGGCCGTACTCGCAGTGGGAGTGACAGTGGCATTGTAGGAGTCGGAGGAGGAGGAGGAGTAGTAGTAGTAGTAGTAGTAGTAGTAGTAGGAGCAGCAGCAGCAGCAGCGTGGTAACCACGGTATCATGGCACCTTTTGTTGTGCAGGACCGTAACCTGTAATGGCCGTAGACATTAGTGTGCGATTGTAGTGATTTTCGGAAGAGTCGGAGCAACAGGAGCAGGAGCAAGAATTCTCTCCAGCCATGGAGACATGTAGACCAAGAGTTGAGAGTTGAGCATAGCCGGACATCACAGGCATGATTGTCATCCATCGGATTGCGAATTCTCACGGCATGCGTAAGCCACGAAACGCGAGTGCCGATCATCACGAGAAGCGGAGTGTCAAGAGGGTCGTTGAACTGCAAACCCCTATTATGATAGTATACGGCTGCATACCATAGCATGTAGAAGTGTAATGTAGCGTACTATCGCATATATTGTCGTAGATCACAATAATATTTATAGTATACAAGTGCCCTAAACCCGAAACTTTGAAACTTAAACCCCCACTTTAAACTCCTAAACCCGAAACTTTGAACCCTAAACCCCCGCTTTAAACTCCTAAACCCGAAACTTTGAACCCTAAACCCCCACTTTAAACCCCTAAACTCGAGACTTTCAACCCTAAACCCCCACTTTAAACCCCTAAACCCGAAACTTTGAACCTTAAATCCACTTTAAACCCTATAAAGCATCCTGAAGCTGCCGACTCCGAGTCTGTGTGGCTGAGGTGCTGACATTCCACAGGGTCCTTTCGCAGACCCACCAAAGGAGGCCAACTAGTGTGAATTATAGTACGAACATAGTATACTACTATAATACTATTTTGGACCTAGAGCGTAGCTGTTGGTGTATCAATATTTACTATAATACAGTATACGATCATGTGCTAAAACATGCTTCAATATGCGGCTGTTCTTTGGTAATGAGAAAGTGGGTTTGGTGATGTCACTCACATTTCGGCTGCAGGGCATGCAGGGGTGCCGTCTCAAGTTTTCGTCCCCATACACCCGAAACCTCGAAGGCCTGCATCTGTATATTGTACATGTCATGCTACATGTTACATACTGTCATACTATAAGTTGATAGTGTATCGCTCAAGCTCCGAGCTGCGAATCTTTGCCAGTGGGTCATCAGCATCGAGAAAGCGGGCAAGAAGCTGGGACTGACTTTGGTCAGCGAGGGCCAGGACAAGTGTTCACGGAACAAAAGCAGCCTCAACAAAAATGTATGTAGCAGTCTATGTGGCCGAGTGTAATTATCTGCTCTTCTTCGCAACACAGCAGCAAAGCACAGCCGTACTGACATTCATAACCGCAGTAGGGATCATCTGTGAGTCTCGCTCAAGGAAGACGGCTCCTACGAAGTCGTGCGGTATCGGGAGCATTTTTTGCATCTAGATTCTAGACTGGGTTCTGTTAGAGAGGTAGGCAGATCGACAGATAGATGACAAATGCACAGATCCGGAGTTTCTGTAGCACCACATGTACGCATGGTTACGAGAGTATATATTTTTGATTAAAGACTGCTTCTCATGCCTCTTACGCACTACCGCCGACATCTCCTTGAAGGCCTAGTCGTGTACATATGTATGTAGGTAGAGAGGAAGGTAGGTAGGTAGGTGGGTAGGTAGGTACGTGTGTACAGATCACTGCATATATATATATAATTAATACATATTTTTTTGTACAAAATGTATATATATATATATACACACATATCCGTGCGAACATGCAAGGCATGCATGTGTCCTTGCATGGATCTTAAGTATGTGTGTGGCTATCTACGCGTATATGTACGAAGCAAGTATGTGCTTTGTGTTCTGAGCGGAAGATGGGACTTTGCGAAGAGCTAAAAACACGCTAGACCCTATAGATCATCGCGCAAAGACTGCGAAGTGTGTCCATGAACTTCCGCATGATCGGAGCTCGCAGTTGTGGAGTTAATGTTTCACAGACAGAACTGGAGGCCGAAGGGGCACCTGTGTCCTAATGCCATTCAGGTGACCACAGCAGTGTGCTACTTACAACTTCGCACCTCCAAGACCCCTTTATCTAGGAATATTCCGTTTTCATCATATTATCGCATAAACCCTCTTGTGTACTGTAACCGAAGATATGCTCCTTACTCAAAGGTTATTGGTCTCTCTGGTCTCGCGCACTCGCGAGGAGAAGCTGAAGGTCACGGCCATGCTCCCAGGCGCTGCTGAGGAGTGGAACAAGGCCAACCCAGACCAGGCACGCAGTTCAGGGCAGCGCCAGCTTCGGATCCCGAACCCGGAAATCGAACTTCCGCTATTTCTACCGGGGTTTGGAGAACGCTGTGGCTTGCAAGAGTTGAGTTTACCCCTTGGAAATGAAACTTGGCATGGATTAACCTCATGTACACAAACTATAGTACATAAACAACCAGGTACCGCAATGTGACTCATCGTGAGTGTAAGCTGGGGGTGCTCCCTCATAATCGCGTCTTTGGGCTCTTTAGGCAGCTTTTGGCCGATGGATGAAGCCGCAGTTAACCTTCTATGCCCTAAGCTAGCTGGAATTCTCAGGCCCTCGACCCCCAGAGGATCTGCTCAGGTGCTCGTGTACAAACCCTGAGCCCTTCGTGCCCGTCAGACCCAGAAATGAGATCCAACTTCAGTATTACTCAGCAGTCGTATCAAAATAGTTTCATAGTAGTCTCATAGTCGATTCCCCATGTATCCCCCAATCGACGGTTTCAAGCCTTTGCTTTGGGTTTAGGGTAGGGTGTTGGGTTAAGGGTTAGGGGTAGGGGTCGAGTGTTTGGGTTTGGGTTTGGGCTTTGAGGGGTCTGAGCTTTGAGGTTAGGGGTGGTGACGCTGATCAGAGCCCTGGCCTCAGCCTTAAGAAATAAATGGCGCCCTGCTCAGTGTGGTGCAGTGGATTTATGTGAGGATCTGCTACTACAAGTACTCATATCGAGCCCTCACTCTCCAATAAAGCTCTATTCTGCACAGACTTGGCGCAAGTGACAGCAGGCCATCGCACTGGGCGACTATGTCACAAAGGTGAACACCGTAACAGGTGGGGGGTTTGAAGGGTGCCATGTTGCTGAGGTTCAGGGCTGAGCTGGAAGGTTGAGTAGTTGAGCGTAAAAGTTGCCTTTTCGGCATTTTTCGGGATGATGCTCTGTATAAGGCTTAGAAAGGACTGCCACTGCCACTTCGGCGAGGTCTCTTGACATGAGAGTGCTTTTGTCCATGGACTGCTGTGCAGTATAGAAACTGCAGTGCCAAAATCCCGATGAGGATCATGAAGCATCGATGGCTTTATTCAAGTAGATTGCACATCACATATGAGATACAATATCTCTGGCTCATCTTGGATATTCATCGAAATGAATCAATTGTAAGTTCGGGATATATATATATATATATCTATATATATATATATACAGAGAGAGAGAGAGAGAGAGATATATATATATATATATATATATACAGAGAGAGAGAGAGAGAGAGAGAGAGAGAGAGAGAGAGAGAGAGAGAGAGAGAAGGAAGACACGGAAGAGAGACAGAGGGCAAGATTCAGAGGGAAAGGGAGCGAGACCAGCCCTGAAATTGGCAGACCCCCCTTTGATGCTCGTGTGCAGCACGCTCGCTCGGGGTTCGCCTCTGATCGACCGTTCACAAGGCAAAGATACCAACCAGTAAGCAAGCCAGCCAGAGACCAAGAGGGCGAGAGAGACGCACAGAGTACATACACACATACATATATATATATATATATACACATATACATACATATATATATAATATTATATACATATCTGCATCTATATATATATATATATATATATATATATATATATATATATATATATATATATATATATATATATATATCAAAGTACACCTTGCATGGTTGTTGCATATCGCTTTTACATAGGTTTTTTGAATTGATTTGTGCGCCTTACCTCTGTATCATCATTCATGCAATGTTTCCTGCATGTAGTGACACCTCCGGTGTCATGAGGTGCTAGGGTTTTAGATCGTCGAACCTAAATCCTAAAATGTTGCCGTGGCCGCCTTGGTTGGCATGCTTTGCAGGCCCCAAAACAGCAGAGAAGATGCTGAAGGCCCGTGTCGCCTGTGCTTGGGGCCTGAGGGGGAGGTACAGTCAGGGGCTTCGGCTGCTTACTGGCTTGACTCAACCCACGTGAAGCCACACCGAAGCATCCCGAGAAGGCACTGCCCGCGAGAATTGTCGATGCCTTAGCCCTGAGCCCTCTCATCAGCATGTGTTGTGCCACTGCGCAGGAATGTGCAAAGGACAAGGTCGAGCTGACCATTCTGCGCCCCTGAAGGAGGCGCCGATGGCTTTGTCCTAGTGCTCATACAGCAGTGCAGCTAGCAAGAACGAGCTATTTCCTTCGTTTCCACGGAACGAAGGCATCTTGAGTTGCTAGTAGCGGCCTAAATAGTTTCCAATACCACTTTGGGAGTTCCTGATGATATGTGTAGTATATCATACCCCCAAACCCTAGTCCAATTATAAAGGCCCCTGTATTGTAGTACCCTTATAGATCCCTTATAGTAGCCCTTATCGACCGCTTTGTCAGGAACCATCTCCTAATTATTAAGGCCCCTACCTATAGTCTCCATTGTAGCTCCTTTTTTTGGTTTAACCAATTATACTTTAAGGATCCTATAAGGTAAGCCAAGAAGGAACTACAATGGAGACTATAGGTATATGTTCCTGAACCCCAGAAGTTCGGGAGCATGTTGAGTCATGGTGGACTCAGCCTACAGAGTTGATCTCGGGTGGCTTTCTTCCCTAAACCATAAATCCCAAACTCTAAATATTATATATATATAATATATATATATATATATATATATATATATAATATATATATAATATATAATATAATATATAATATAATATAATATAATATAATATTGTATTATATATATATATATATATATATATATGTATATAGGCCCTGATGAAGCCCTATACACCTTAAACCCTAACTTTAGGCCTTAAACCCTAAACCGCAACTAAAGCCTTCATCCTCAACCCTAAACCCTTAGCCCTTCCAGGTGTCTTTGATTTTGAGCAGTTTGCTACTGCTGGGGGCTGAGCTTGAGCGGCAGCCATGAAGAGTGTTCGGGGCACCTGCACTCTCAAATACTATCACAGGCCCCACTATAGCAGTAGATGTTACGGCATATTGCAACACAACAGATGTACTGTAGTAGACTACCACATACTATCATATACGCTCCTATGCTGTAAAGTGGGTAAACATGTAATGGTATGGCAATGAATATCATACTAACTTGCACCACGACTAGCAGCTAGACTCATCGCGATCATATCCATGAGTGTTTGTGTTGACACACACACACACACACACACACAACTTCATGCATTTTCCTCAAGGGGGGCTTGAGGCACAGACTGCCGGGTTTTGGGACCAGCAATACCCTCAACCCTGAACCTTAAACCCTAAACCCTAGATCGACCCCTTAGAACATCTGAGGTCGATCGGGCTAAAATTCCATGGCTTCTGCGACGCCAAAAGCCATGGCATCGGACCTCAGCAGTCTCAGCGCTTCGGGTGTGGCTTCCTTCCTAGAAGGGTAGTCAGGTTCCTATCAGGGTTCAACGGTTCTGTAAGGGTTCTTATAGAGGAACCTGGCAATCTCGCCGCCGCGCAAGCCCAGCCCAAAAGACAATGTCTCCAGCACACCACGCGGGGCGGAATGTCTCATTCACACATCCCCCTTGGTACAGTTCTCTTGTCATCCAGACGCTTCTAGTTGTGAGTTGCTCTGGTGAGCAACTTGAACTAGCCGTCGATGGGCGTACCTGCCATTTGCATCCTCGTCAAGGCAGTATGCTATACACTATTAATTTATCTACCGCTCCTGTACTTGATTGTGTTGTGCCAGTTTGCGAAGCTGAAGAGCACAGCTGACAATACAGCCCACGTGGGCCAATATGTAACCAGATCTGTAGATGCTGCCGAGGCTTTTGATGAGAGCGCTTCCCATCTTCACGACAAAGATCTTGAGATGCGGCCTATGCAAGCTTCAAGCTCTGAGAGCTTAAAGCGGAGTTTTAGGCAGTAGGACCACCCCTCGTGCTGTGATCATGCCACTGGGTACTTATCACTTATCACTGTCGTTTTGATTCCGAAGAAACCTAGCAAACGCCCGGTCGGTCCTTTAGTATCTTTTGCAACCCATGCGATGCGGTAGTGAAGACACTCCTGCTGGAGCAGTTTTCGAGGTCGCTCTCCAACAATAGTGCCAAAAGCAACCGCTGCAAACGGGACAACAAGCACGCGAGCACCTAAACCCCCGAAAGTAGGTAAAGCAATGGCCCAATACCTACAAAAGCAATTATTCTACGTACTTTGGGGGTCCAGGCAAGGATCTAAGGAGCAGGAGCAGAAGTGCAGCAACGACCTGCGCTGTTGCGAAGTCTAGTCTGGCCGATGCACAACGGGAAGCGTCCGGATGGAGCCTGGGAAGCTGTCATGTCACCCGCACCGCATTGCTTAATGCTTATGCCCACCACAACAGCACAGGTATCAACAACAGCACTAGCATGGTTGTACTGCAATTGCAGCAAGACTCACGAGCATCAACAGCAGCAGCATCGCCATCGAAATCACAGTATTGCCATCCATCATCCCCCTCGTCATCATTGGCCTGGATACAGTGCTACAGCGATGATCCCAAGGCGAGCTCAAACTGTATGGTATGATAATGTAGGTTTCCGTGACATGGCTGGCTTTCCTCGGACTTGACGTGATTTTCCACTGGGTGCCGCACGGTTCCCGAGACGTCTTTTGAAACTTGTAGGTGGGACAACCCAGCAAATTCCACCTTAGACTTTCACTCATGTTGTCGTAAGCACTGTTCTGACCTGGGCTACAGCTCATGTTGTCTTCAGTCCTGAATCCAGTTTTGCTGGATGCAGTTATGTGCCTTTACATCTCGGGACCAGGATGCTCCTCGCTCTGTCCTTCCACTGTGCCGGGTTTGTTGAGCAACCCTGCGCTCACGGCGCAAAAAACTGCAGAGATTCTCTGCTTCTTGCAGCTAGCTTACTACTATTTGCTTAAGAACCACCCAAAAAATAAAAAATATATTCCTTATGGGGGTAATATAGGGATTATTATTTTTATTTTTTGGGGGTTTCTTAAGCAAATAGTAGCTTAGGGGCCTTGATGACAATTAGACTATATAAGGTTTCGATGAGAAATTCTGAGTGTATTCAACAATCACTGATTCTTCAGGCTTCTATGTGTTACCCGCAATCCCACAGGGACTACCTCGAATGGGAGCACAAGAAACCCTGATTTCATTTTCGCAGATAGTAGTGATAGTAATCTGAATATGGAAGAAGATGAATGGCAATACTAGGAATAAGAACACACGCTGGCAATCTTGGCAATAACAATAACAACAATAATTCATTGCAATAGTAATTGCACGAACACGACGAAGAAGCATAATAGTACTACACTAGTTCTAATAAGTGATCATTTCAGAAAATGGCTCCGAGTATGGTACCTTGCTCACATATCCTCCATGCGCGTTCTGTTTGCCCCGGGTTTCATTCAGATTTAGAGTCAGCCTGACAAAGTAGAATTGCATCAGTGCGACCATGACCTCGAACATGGCGAATGATAGCATACTGCAGCAGAGCAACATAATCGAAGTGCACTGCAGCAATTTGTTCTTGATTAAACAGACAGCACAGCTCTGTGTTCGACAGCCCTACATTCCTCGAACGACAATACACTGGTTAATATAATTACAGTACATACTACAGCAGCAACATGTCTAGCTATCTGAATAACGCGCCAACGTCTGGAATAGAGCGACAACCACTCCAAACATGCTGTCAGTATTTAATAGAGCAGCGTGAGTGCACAAAGCAAAATATGCTCGAGGCTTTTTACACAAGTCAACGACATTATGCGCAAACGAACTTAAAAGCGTCACTTTGCTGCTGAGTTCTATTCAAGCGTCAGCAGCCGTCGTTCTTGGTCGCTCGAGCCTGACAGGGGTGGAATACTCCGGCACTAACCCGCCTGAGCCGTAAGCCTTCAAGTCTATCCACGAGTACCCAGCCTGCCTAAACGCTAGACCTCGGAGCTTAAATCCTACCTCCAAACCCCAATGCAAAGAGGGTTTGTGTAAAGACGACCCTCTGCCTTTCCTCCAAACCCCGATGCCCAACTTTTTGGATTTCAATTTCGGAGGTTCCAGCAGCGCTTGTCGAGGAGCCCGGAGCAGGCAATGGGCAAAAGTCCAGAAGTTTAGGCTTATTTGTGTCCTTCACATATGTAGTGTACATGTATAGAAGGCTGCATCCAATATTCCGGGTGGCGAGACAGGTAGCAAGGATTGCGAGGCCGTGGTAAGCTTTGCGTCTAGAACTAGAACCCTGCGCCCTAACGCAAAGCAGGTCATTCGGTACTGCTGGGGTGGCGAGCCTTTGTGGCTCCATGTTCGGACCTCAGGTAATACAGGGCCCTTAATTAACTGTTGCCTATACTATTTTGGGGGCTCATTACTATAATTCTGGTATAATATACCGGAAAACCCTATACTAATCATGAAGGCCCCTACAGTATCAGGACCCAGGGTGTACGCAGGGCAGGGGGGGCCTTGAACAAGGAGGGTGGGGGCTGCAGAGCATCCTCGTGGACATTATTGTAAACTATAGTCATTACAGTATAGAGGTTGGACCAACTCCGAACAATGTTCCCTTTCAGTCTGTAATGTAATTCATAAGTATAGCATACCCCAAACCTCGTTCTAACTATGCAGGCTCTTGCACTCGCCATGTAGCGATGTACTCCCAGGACTGGCAGGTGGTAAGCTGCGTTTTCACCATGAGGTTGCTCCCCCTTGCAGTTTCACACGATGCTGGGCGGCATCCGACCACTGCAGAGATCAGCAGCTGTATACCTCAATACCCGGAGGGCTTGCTTCTTGCTACCTGCTGCACATTCGAGGTGACGATGACAACGGCAACATTGAAGACGACCACGAACAACTATTCCTAATCCTGCTACCACTGCACCCATTATATGCCATTGTCGCTTCCTCCACAGTGGGAACGAGGAAATCTGAAAACTACCACGGCAACTACTATACTATCACCAGCAAACTTCCGTCGGTCGGTGTTCTTTAAACGCACTTGATATCGTATCAGAAGCTTAAGTGGCTCCATGTTGGCTGTTTCCGTGATTGTAATCGTTCGTCAGAACCACAAGCATTATCATCGTAGTTCCAGCCTGTCATGATTTGAAGTGCAAAGCAGCATAGTAGTCATCATCAGCCCTTCGATAAACGCATGTGCATCATCACCTTCAATGCCTTCACTCTCAAGGCCGTTCTGGGATTCGTCATCACCATCATCAGCAGCAGCCGCTTGTTCCCTGCTATTCCCAAGGCACCGCCGACCTCCAAGCTTCCGAAATGTGCTTGCGGCGACTTGGATCGCATTATCACCAAGTGCCAGGCGCCGTCGCAAGGCCCTGCATCGACCATGGATCATGGAGCAGCCCATTTGCTTGTCACTGTTTCACGTTGTCATTGAGGTGCCAGCCGCTGTTTCGAACTACAGTTGTTGCGCTTGCCTCAGAAATCTTAGGAGTCCCAAGCAAGTGTCCGAGTAGCTTGTACAGTAGTACCCAACAGCTTCGGACGTTGTCGCTTTACGGCCCGTTGCTGCGCTCGATTATGTACGAGTGCATGTGTACATACATACATACATACATACATAAATACAAACATACATGCACCACATAGGCACAATTACTGACTACATCATGCGTAGATGTATATGCATATACAGATGTTTATACAAATGTGTATGTTTCTAGTGAGAGCAGGAGCTCGTGCTACACACAGATGACATGTACCTGCAAATATGATGCACGTACGTATGTCGTATGTATGCATGCATGTACGTACGTATGCATGTAAGGTACTGTAGGTAGGTATTAGGTATGTGTTTATTGGTATAGCTGGGACCCCACGTGGGTGAAAGAAAGGCTTGTTCCTGTCAGTGCCCGTGCGTGCCTCTCAGCCCGGAGGCCCACGCTCCACGTGCAGCTTTCTCAAGCTGCAGCCTGGCATGCATTAGGGTTTAGGGTTTAGGGCTTGGGGGTTAGGGTTTAGGGCTGAGGGCTTAGGGTTTAGGGCTTAGGGTTTACCTGGACCCCGAAAGTATGTAGAATAAAGGCCCTTTTATAGGTTTTGGGCCATATTTACTACCTTTGGGGGTTGAGGTACTTAGGGCTTAGGGCTTCGGGCTTTTGGCTCATGGGATTAAGGGTGTATTGGTTTAAGGTTCTGGATACGCGGTTTAGCATTGCAGCGTCGTAGAGCTCAGGGTTAAGGGTTTGGTAGTAATTGTTTGGTATAGAATCCTATAAGGCAATCCCAAACAGGAACTACTTTGGGGCCTATGGGTAGCCATGTAGGCGACCATGGCACGTTCACCTCCTCAATTTTTTGGCCCATGATCCGGCTGTCTAGCTGTCCGACAACAAAAGTGTGTGAAAAGAATAAGCAAAAACAGTTACTAGTCACTATCACATATTCGCGTGTCATTAATATGGTCGTTAGTATAGGTTTGAATGTGTGTGTATATATAGGTATAAACAAAGAATATAAACATATGTAAGTATGTACATGCATACATACCTGTATATATATATATACATGTACACATGTATATATTTATTGACACATATAAATGTATACCTGTATATATACACGTACGTATATATATATATATATATGTATATATACATACCTATATATATCTATATATATATATATATATATATATATACATGGTGTGCACAATTTTACATAACGTTTTTCATGCATACGCATATACTTACTTACGTGCATACTTACTTACGTGCATACATACTTACATACATACATACATACATACGCACATACTGATTTTCATAGTTACATTGTTGCATGCATTCATGCGTGCATGCATGCTTACTTTCATGGTTACACACCTGCATACGCTCATGCAGACATGCTTAGATACATACATACATACATGCAAAAATACGTACCTATGTACGTACGTACATACATATACACACGCATGCACACACACACACACACATGCACGCATACACACAGACACCCATGCATGCATGCATGCATACCTATGTGTACGTGTACTTGTGCGCTCGTGCATGCAACGTATTGTGCCTGGTTTTCTGATAGTCATGTACAGCATACTCAAACGGTGAGGGAAAGAAAACAGAGGCAGAGAAAGAGAGCGAGCGGCGTCATCTTTTCATCAGCTGTGCACGTGCCATATCAGAAGCTGCTCGTGCATCCCGGCTTTGCCGAATGCTTTCTGGCCCTCACCAAGGTTCCCTCGGCGAAGTTAAACGCTCTCGGAATGGAGTGGGGCAGTGTGATCATCTTCACCTGCTCCAAGGCCCTCCGCATGCGCATGGCTGGTTAGGTTGATTTTAAAAGCGCCGGTAGTCATAGTCGAGAACATGACGAAGAGTAGCATCTGAAGTATGTAGCGACAAGAAATCTCAAGGAGATAGAGGACTGCAGCAGCGTCTCCAGCGTTGTGGCCAGGACTGCCTTTGTGAGGATCCGTGTGAGGAGCTCCTCGTCGTTCAGCCATCTGTTTAATGGCGGATGACCAAGTCAGGCCTTGACTCAGCAGAGAAAAAGTTGGAGCCAAGAGGGCCGATCAGCTTTTTGGCTGCAGCCCTCGGAGCCACGAACTTGAAGTGGAAAGGGCTGCATGTCGAGGATTGCAAGCCGCGGAGAGGTGTTCATTCTGAACCTGTCCGCTGCTCTTCTTCTACTTTCGGTTTGCTGCAGGCATGCACATATAGACATGCGCATTTCCAACCATAAGGAAAGACGTGCACGCTCGCCATGACTGTGGCTTTGTTCCTACAGGCAGACATCGCAATCATACTGCCAATCGGGCCCATTGTGTGAGTCCAGGCGGGTGCGCCGCTAGGCAATGGCCGCTGATGGATGCTATGGAAGGCACACGTCGCCAGGATTGCATCAGTGCCAAGTTGCTGCAAAGCGCCAAAGAACCGACTCACCATTAGAAAAAAGATGTGCAGCTTTCTCTCACATGTTCGGCCTCGTTGCTGACTGGGAGAGCAGGAGGAAAGAATCCGCGCTCAAGCAAGACCAGATATCACGTGAGAAGGAGAGCCCCGCGGTCCCGGCGGATGACCCGAACCCGCAGAACGGCAGCGCTTTCTACAACGCTGTCATGACCGTTCACCACTACTCTGTTGGCTCTGTTGAAAGGGAATTCCATTCTCACGAGGTGCAGCGTGGCATCGCGAACCGTTTTCACCGCACCCAGGCTGTGGACAGCAGATTTCTATTAGTGCAGTTGCAGTCAAGTTTCGCCCAAGCTAGGGTTTAGGGTTTACGGGCTAGGTATGCCGGAAAGGGACGGGCTGCTTTGACAGATCTTCTTCTGTTTCAGTGATGCGCCCCAGGCAAGTTCGGAGATGACCGG